ATCTGGAAATGGCCTAATGGTTTCCCTCATACCCGCCAATTTATATAATAACAATATTTGTCAGAGTTAGTGACATTCCGTTTTAATATTAATTAGGCTTAAACAGAATAGTTAAAAAAAATTTTCCTTGTGGACTAGAAAATAATAAGAACCATAAAAAACCTACAAATTGGTACAGCAGATTAAACAATAATTCTTGCTTGTAAAATAAAATTCATAATTCAAGGAACTAAAACTCTAGATACCGAAGACCTTTGACTCAGCTTAAAAAATTGAAGTTAATATTTTTATATATATATATTATCTTTTTAACGCGTAAAATAAAAATTAATATCAATGACAATTTCTTACTAGACCAACGTTAGTGTTTGGTTATCCAGTAAATCAAGTCTGAAGCACAAAGTTTGGACATCTATTCGCAAATTCTAGAGGTTTAGGCAATATATATTTTGCTAAAATATTGAGTCAGCTATTTCTTAGAAATTTTCTCAAGACGAGACGTTTAATAACACTACCAACCATCTTAAAAATGAACGTATTTTTAATATCAAAACTTATAACTGTGCTCAAAACTGGTTTTAATTTTTTTGATATCTTTTTATTTTCCTAGTGGAGTATAAAAATAGTAGTAACTATTTCTTATTAACTCCAAAGGTCTTAGCATAGGAACAACCTAGTAATATTTACAACATTTAAATGGACTCATAGGCATAGCTAAGATTTTTCTAGGGGGTGGGGGTCTTTTGGGTAGTTGTTTGCCCCCACTTTAATTTTTATTAGAGGTCTTATAATGCACTTATTGTAACCCTTTGATTCAGGCGCGTACGCAGGAATTTGGTCAGGGGGGGGGGGGGTAATAAAATTTTTTAAGAAATATTATTGTTTTTTAAAAATATCAAGCATAAATTTATTAGAACTAATAACTATTTCTAATACACAATTTTAAATTAATGTGAATTATAAAAAAATTATATGTATAAACCGTCATAAGAAACTATAAAATAAATGTGAATTATAAAATATTAAACGGATATAACTGGCGGTATAGAAAATCTATAAAATAAATGTGAATTATAAAATATAAAGTGAATATAACCACTATATGAATCACTTAAATGACACAAAATAGAAATTTAAATTTTTTGAGCCTTTAAAATTTATATATATATAAAATTTAAATGTTGGAAATATAAATTAATACACAAAAAGTTTATAAGGAATAATTGTATTTTGTATGTTATATATTTACATGCAAAATCCAATCTTCGTTGGGATTGAGCTAATTTTTCAATTATCTCATCCTTGCTTGTCGTCAAATGCCTATGAATATTCAAAAAATCCAACCTTTCAATCTACATTTCAGAAGTTGTACTTCTTGGTATGTTTTTCAGAGACCTGCAGGCCCGGCCCCGAGCAGGACCGTATTTTAGTTTTTTTTACCCGGGCCGGGCCCGAATTTTTATTAAAAAAACACCCGGGCACGGCCTGAAAATTTTTTTAAAAAAATATCCAGGCCGGGTTGTATATTTTAAAACAGTCTATATTTAAAATCGTTATTTAGCTATTAAAATAAAAAATAAATATAATTTATTTTAAAAAAATCTGGGCCGGGTCTGAAAATTTTATTTTAAAAAAGCCTGGGCGGCCTGAAATTTTTTTAAAAAAAACCTTAACCGGGCCGTAAAATATTTTAAAAAAAATACGGGCAGTGCCCAGCAAATGGTACTCTGCAGGGCTCTGTTATTCTTCTTAAAAAAGAGAATGTTCTCTCATTAGTTTACTAATGGAAAGAGTTGCTAATATATATAAACCCTTTTAATACTTGGGAATATAATCTAAAATGTGTTTGAAATGCAAAGCTTCCATCATTTTTTGGGACTATATCAACCATAGTTAATTTTATAAACATAGTTATTCAGCTAATTAATCATCATAAGATACTTTAACATCATCATGATAAAAATCTAACAAATATTTTTTTTCTATCATCATCTGAAAAAGGTTGGTAAGGCTTTTGTGGAAGTAATATCTGCAGATTGGTTAGTGCTGCATGATGAATTAAAAACCATTCATTATTTGGGTTATAAATATATCTAAGAGAAGGGACATTTGTTTTTCACTACTCTTCTACTGATCCTATATTAATGTTTTAACGATGAGCTTGCCTTGCTGCAAGTCGAGGGAGACAAATATTAAACACGTATAGCTTTGCTTTTGACTCAACAAAAACATGTAAAATATGAAATTCTTCATCAACATTAGCCCTAATTTCCTTGAGTTCTAATAAAATGCTATCCGCTATTCTCATCTTATTAATCAAGTCAATGTCATGTTTTGAAAAGTATTACATATAGTTGTATAATTAAATAATACATTCTAATGAGGAAAAAAATTTGGAATAAGCATTGAATCCAATAATTTTCCTGCTTCTGAGGAAATATTTCTTTCAGGCCATTGTGATATTGCAGTAATAGCAAATAATCGGCTCTTCTACCTCCATAAAAGCGTTACTGCTTGATGGCGAAGACTCTATCTCTTTGGACAAGCTTGCAATTTATATCTCCCTGTTGGACAAGGAGTTTCAGAAATAATTATTATTTGACTGAAAATTTGAAAATAATAAGTAAATATCACGCCGGAAAACTTGAAATCGAAATTATTTGATAAAATAACTTAGTAGTTAAATGTGATAAATAAATTTAATTAAATATTTAATATGAGATAGGAATAAATATTAACAAATATAAATTAATATAAACAATAATATTTTTGAAAAATATATCCGGCATCTGCATTTTTTGGCTTACCCTGCCCCCCCCCCCCACTGCGTATGCGCCTGCTTTGATTATGTTTTATTTTGTCAAAAATAAATTCAGGTTATTTTTTTCTAAAATTTTTGAATTATTGTCGTTATTTTAAAAAATTACCTTTATATTTTTTCTTTCAAATTCTTGCTTATAGTGATACATTGTATACCTTAGTGCAGAAGATGGGGGTGCATCCGTGAAAATTGTATTTATTATGTTCAAAATGATATTTGCAAGAATAGACAAATTTAAATAGCCCCCCCCCCCCTTCATCTCAGCTACTTCTATGACTGAACTCAAAACAGGGATTTTAAATTTTTGACTGATTTATATTACTTTATGGAGAAGAAAATAATAAAAGTGCCAATTTCTTATTCAAAAGTTTTAAAACAATTTTTTTTTCTAATACCCAAAATTTTTTATTTGACTCACAAAAGGTTATTTGAAATTTTTTATTTATTTTGTTTTTCCTAGGTAGAGTAAAAACAATGATAGTACAAATTTATTACTAGAGCCTAAAATTTAATTCTCTATTACCCAAAAAGGCATATAAATTTTTTATTTTCTGGTGTAAAAAATTATGGATGTTCCAATTTCTTACTAAACTCAAAGATCATTGAACTTCTTTTTAATACTTAGTGTATTTAACTGGGCTCAAAATAGGGTAATTCTTTTAAAAAAATTTTGTTTTCATCGTTGAGTAACAATATTGGCAGTGCTAATTTTGTCTTAGAATTATATTATAATATATTTCATATATAATTATTCCCTTGAGGAGTAAAAAATAAGGGCACATAAAATTTCTGCGCGTGTCTGATATATGTCTAAATAAGAATTGGATAATCTTCCAAGTCGTATTATTTAGCTTAAATCCTTTTCAGTTTACGGCAAACCCTACCCTATCCAGCAATATGACAACACAAATTATAGATCGGTCACAGTTTAGCATATTAGAATATATATTTTTTTCAACATTCTACTAGCATTCATATATATTTTAAATTTAATTTTTTTTAAGATGAGTTCAGATATTTGGGAAGATGAAGATTTTGACTTTGAAGTATCAGATGCATTGATTTTAGCTTCTCAGCAGAAACTATCAAATAAATCTTCCAATAAACTTAAATCTAATGATTATATTAATTTTTCAAATCAAAAATTTAATTCTGATAATAATAGGTTAATAGATAAATTTTTTTTTAACATATAATATTAATTTTTCAAATCAAAAATTTAATTCTGATAATAATAGGTTAATAGATAAATTTTTTTTTAACATATAATATTAATTTTTAGACATCAATCTTATTATGATTTGACCAAGAAAGTCAATATGTTGCATAGTGAAAACAAGACATTATCTGATTCCTTGCAATTTTTTAAACATGAGTTAAAAAATTCAGAGATTAAAGATAATCATAGAAATGAACAATACCAATATCACTTAACATTTATTAAAGAAAAGTACAAAAAGGATTATGAACAATTGAAGAAAGAGATAGCTGATAAAGTATACTACAAAAGAGTTATAGAAATTTATTCTTAATAAGGAAGAAAAAATTATACTAATTAATAATCAATATGATAGCCTTAAAGCTGATTTACATAATAAAAATCAGATTGCTGGTCAAAATAAAGATAATATCTTACATGATGGGCAAAAAATTTTGGATCAGAATCTTTCTTTAGATTATGTAAAAATTAAAAGAATTGTAAATTTGTATTTTCACCATCTTGTTCATCATCTATCAAAAATTTCAAATTTCATAAATTTTATGCCAACAAGATTTTTAAAAATGTATATATTTAATAAATAGTATTTTAATTCTTGTTTTAGATCAGATGATTTATTCTATAAATTAGAACATAATAAAAAATTAATGGATACCTATTATGCCTATATAAATGAACAAGATGGGTCAGATATTTGCACAACAAATTGTAACTATTTTAATGTTGGATTTTTACCAATAGTAGCAATGATTGAACATATTTTGGATGTGTTTGTTTTGAATTTAAATCAATTTGTAAATATATCCATATATAAAAATCAAGAATTTAAAGATTTTGAAAATTGGTGGGAATTATACATGATTTCATATGTTGCAGAATATAAGAATATATACAACAAATATTATGATCCAACAGATATGATAGATTTAATTAAAATAATAGATAATATCTTTAATAATTTTGATAATCTTATTCAGCTAATGTTACATTTTAATTGGAAAATGTATCAGAATCTTTCTTATGCAATTATTCGGCAAGATATATATATCAAACTAATTATTGATGATTCAATTGGTAATTTTAAGACTTTTAATGTAATAATATTACATTTTACAAATTTAGATGAAACATATAATATTTTACAACTCTATCTCAAATCATCTGAAGAAATGTATTATAAAATAGCAAATAATAACAAGTTGCTTAAGAAATTTATATGCCTACTAGTCATTTTAATAAGAATACCGGTATATATTTTTTTAAAGTTAAATATAAAAAAATCATGAATTTTTTTTATACACTAAAAATAGTCAAATTCGATGGCAAGCCAATCAATATTGGTGAATAAAATTATTGTTATTTTAAACCACATAGCATATGATGAAGGTGATAAAGAGAATATTTCTAATAATAAGTTATACATTTTTGGCTTATAAATTTTGATAGTGGTTTAGAAAATCTTGCCAGATACCTAAAATGTATGTCAAAATGATTTTATCATATGGAGTTGAAGACAAGAACACTCTTTCAGAATTTTTGAATATAATAGATTTACTGATTACCTTTCTTCACTATGGTCATGATTATATCAATGAATCATGTGAGACTGAAGTAGTTGGGCAAAATATCAATAAACAGTCGTGTAAGTAAATTATATATAAATAATGTTATGTAGCTTAAGCATTTTTGTACTGAACAAATTTCAGAACTTGGATGCCTAAATTTTAACAACCAGTTTACTAAAAAAAAAGTTATACCCAAATTAAGAATGTGAACAGTTATTTACGTAGTTTATAAAATAATTTGAGGAAAAATGTTGAAAATTTTATTTGAAGAATGATTTTTGATCAAATTTTGCCTAAAAATGCCAAAATCTTTTTTAATTTTCATGCATAAAAATCTTCCAAGATGAAATCAAAATTTAAAAAAAGATTGTTCAAATTTTTTTTTTCAAACTGGTTATTTATAAATAGCCAGTTCATTTATGAATCAGGGGTAAAATTTTTTAAAGGTTATGATTTGGTTAGAGTTAAGCTACTCATAATTAGAAAGATTCAATTATGGGTTTAATAAAATTATATCTGTTTTTTGAGTCTATAAATTTTACCTATGGTTATATTAAATTTAAGTCATATATTTTCAAGTTATGATCGACTTGGATAGCATTTAAAATAAATGAGCAGTTTAAAAATTTTTTTTTTTTAATTTCTGGCAAATTATTAATTTTTACCTTATTATTGACTTTTTGCTAAGTTTAAAATTTTTTTAAATGATAAATATTAGATGGTTTTACTAAACTGCAAATACCTAGGTACTAAGTACACTGCAAATCTGAATTAGATAGAAATATTATAAATGTCACATTATTAGATGAAAATTTTTTCTGGTTTTTAACAATAATTACAATATCATGATTAAATTAAACATATACAGTGATTTAATTTTAAAACCTGTTTATATTATAAGAAAAGGATTAATAGCATATATAAATAATTTATACTTGCAGTTTACCTAAATATCTGCAATCTCATTAAACCCACATTGAAATTTAAAAAGGAAATGACAAATGAGCACATCTTTTAGTTTATTATTAGTTGTGATCAGGGTTGCCAGGTCAAAATTTTCAAATTGTGGGAGATATTTGGTATTTTGCAGGAGAAATATGAAAATTGTAGTAGAAATATAAAAATTGTTTAAAAAAAAGGCCCACAATGGCCGGGATTTTAATAACGCTTAAATTAGTTTATAATACAAAATCGGTAACTATTTTTCAAAATAAAACAGGTAACTATTTTTCAAAATAAAATATTATAGTACGAGACAAAAATTTTTAAATACTATTTTATTATTAAAATATTATCTTGATTTATTAAAATATATTAATTTTGTAAAAAAAAACAAACGATTTTTATTTTACAATGTAAAAAATATATTTTATGCAAGTCCTGCAAAACTAACGCATAGGCGTAGCCAGGATTCTCCTAAGGGGGGGGGGAATTAAAAAATTACTGGGGGCTTCGTCTCCAGACCCTATTTTTGGGCGGGCCTTCGGCCAGGTTACCTTAGTCTATATATTCATAAAATATTTTTACAAGAGAAGGTTAATTTTAATAAAAAAAATAAGCCTGGAACAAATATGAAATATATTTTTATTAGTTTATATAAAATATAATAAATACTTATATATACATTAATATAAAAGCATGGTAATAATTTATTCTAAACAAGTATAAGGAATTTATTTATAAAAAGTAAGCAGACATATAGTTGATATTCCTCTATTATATAAAATTAGTTACAAAATACTAGGTATAATTCCACTTTTACAGACATATTCAGTTAGAGAATATATTACAGTTAATATTTTAACAAATTTTACTAATCAATGCTCTTGAAAATAAATATAGCAACAATTTGCATTCAATTATTTAACGCCATATATTTATTTTAAATAAATAATGATATTAAAAATTAATTTTCATATTATTCATCCCTCAATGTCTTTAAAAGATATTTTCTGATGTCCTTATCAATATTTTATAGTTTTCTGTAAAATATATAATTTGCTATATTGGTAAAAATTACTTGATTGTCATATGATAATTGATAAAATTAGATATACTGTAAATCTACGACATATAATATTCCACTGTTTGTATTGTGCTTTAATTTTTTTATTTAATTTTATCAATAGTTTTAAAATATATTTTATTTTTATTAAGATAAATAAATTAAAATTACTAACTTTATAAAAAATTATATTTGATATATTATATTATTTAATAATTTTATGGATCTATTATTTAGTAATTTTATGGATCTATTATTAATAATTATAATATATTTCACATTTGTCTTAAGAATTATCTTTGTCTTAATACTTATCTTTGGCTTATATTTCATTTCTTAAAAGCATTTTTGGTTCACTTTTTTTATATATAAATGATTTTTTCTAAAAATGTATAAATTATGATGAATAGTTTTATAAAAAAATATCAACTTTTACATTCTTTATTCCAAATTATTGATTAAGATATATTCATACATTTTTAGGGATCAGGGAGTGGGGGGAGGACTAAGGGGGGATATTTTTTATTAGCTTAAAATGATATTGATAAATATCTGAAGGGGGGGGGGTATATTTCCCCTTGCCCCCCCCTGGCTACGCCTATGACATTGGTATTATTATAATCAGTGCAGGGAAGTGTATCTACATCTATTGCAAAACAAAAATATTCTCCAAAAATAAGAAATAATACAGATGCAACTACATTTGCGGCAATGGTATACACTTATCATGTAGTAAACATTCACAGAACTACTTATCATTACAATATGGGTAGAATCTTTTCCCAATAATATGACCGCCTCCGAGATAAATGAAAACTTTACTTGTAGATCAAAAATGAGCAAGGCTCTCATCAATGTTTTAAAACCTGAATCCAGGAGGTCAATTCCTGACGATTTGATAGATGGGCATTTCTAGCAGATGCATCTAATAAAAGAAATATTGAAACATTTCCCTTGATCCTCCGCTATTTCAACAAAATTAAGGTCGTTTTAATAAAACTATTAAAATTTTTTCCCTCAAATAGTGAAAAATCTAAAAATATAGATAACATAATGGTAAATTTAGCAGATTCGGGATTATCAATGAATTGCATGTCAGCTTTCTGATCTGATAATACTTCAGTGAATTTGGCAAAAACCAGACTGTATTTACAGAATTGAATCAGCACAATGTTGGTTGTGGCGTTCCTAATATATGTTGTTAAAGCAATCCGATTTCTCTCCTTTCTCCAGGTAGTACTCATCAGGCTAAAAATGCGCCTATTAGAATGAGGTAAGGAGAGAACATACTCGCATATTTTTTCCAAGCATGGGGATTTATCGTTATTAGGAAAAAATTCTACCTATTTCTCCTCTGCCTATAGACCATCTAACTTTAAGTAATTTGGTGAATCATAATAAATAGAGAGAATTACAATCTCCTCAAACAAGACATCAATGTCTTTCGGTATTTTTAATATATTTATTAAATTATAAAAACCATCAATTGATGGGTTCTGTTCCAATGTCATAATATTTATACAATTGTAAATAGAGTTATTAAAATCAAATTTTGATTGTAAATATTCTAAAATTGTCTTAATAAAAATTTTGTTTCATTTAAAAATATATTAGAGTATTATTTTAATATAATATTTTTAGCAATAGCGCCATAAAATTTATTCTCAATTTTTAACAGTATGAACAGAACTGTTGCATGATTTTGTGATCTTATTAATAGAATCTTCTGATTGCAACTGAATGTTAACTGCGTGATAGATTTCCTTCATAAATAGGCTTCTGCCATTTCATTCTCGAAAAAATTTTTCAAAATTTTAGGACAGCGTTTAAAATCTTTATAGAAGTATTTTTTAAGGGTTCGTAAAATTTTAAAACTCTATCTATGGCTCGTATTAATGATAACCACCTGATAGGTGCATGTCGCAACAACTCACACCATTTTAAATCAGATCACACCAACTCTTTTAATTCATTAACTATTAGTTAATGAACTAAATCGTTAAAACATTTCATCACAATTATTTCATCCACTTGCCTTCTTGCAAGAATTATGTAGTATATAGCATATACAGCCAATTAGCATTAATTCATAATTGTGCTGCCTTAATTCGGTAAATACACTGTAGTTTTTGCCAAAATTTACAGAAGACATTATCAGCGCTGAAGCTGATATGCAACTCATTGATAACCCTGAATCAGCTATATTTTTTATTATGTGGTTAGCTATATCGTTGAATTTTTGACTATCCGAGAAAAAAGATTATAGCAGTTTTATTGAAATGACCTTATTCTTGTTGAAATAGCGAAGGATCAAGGGAAATGTTTTAATATTTCCCTTATTAGATGCATCTGTTAGAATTGCATATGGATGCCCATCGTTCAAATCGTCTAGAATCGCCACTTAAATTCAGGTTCTAAAACATTTATGATAGCCTTGCTCATTTTTGTTCTACGACAAGATGGGGAAAAGATTCGACACACATTGGATAGATATCTCTGTGAATGTTGAACTACATGATAGGTGTATACTATGTCCGCAACTGTAGTTGCATCTGGATTATTTATTATTTTTGGAGAATATTTTTGTATTGCAATCTTTGTTGATAACTTCCCTGTATTGACTTATATGAATGTTGATATACTCCCCTGTATATTTATTGTTGATTAAAAATAAAACAGGATAGAAAGAAATTTACAAATTAGACATGTTTTTCGAATAAATATTTAAAATTGATTTTAAAAATACAAAAATAATCAATTACTGTCTCTCAAAATTATTATTTATATATTAAAAATGTTAAAATGCTAAAAAAATTGCGGGAGAAATTAAAAAATAGTGGGAGATTTCTAATTGCGGTAGTTTTGCGGAGTGAGATGTCTGCGTGTAAACTAAAAAAGGGAGTCTCCCTCTGATATGGGGAAACATGGCAACCCTGGTTGTGATAGAATCATTTTTTATAACAACTTTTTAACCACAACTGGAAACCATTTTTGAAAATTTTTATATGGATATTGACTTGACAAAATTAAAAGAAAGATTAGTTTATTATTTGAATTATCAAATTTACTATTATGGTTGTTTGTAACCAACCATCCTTAAATATATACATTACTTTCACTGGTACATTTCTTCCTATCTTCTAAACCGAAATATTTGCCAAAGTGTAAGTTACGACCAGCGATCTAAAATATATCAGATATTGGTTTAGGTTCAGGTAAAAAACTGTTCAGGTTCGGTTCTTAAAAAATAATAATATCAGTTTAGACCTTTTTGCCTACAAGCCTATTATAATATCGTAAAAAAGATAATTTTTTAAATTTTATCATTACTCTTTAAAAATCATATTGAGCCGTATACAATTGAAATAATTTCAAGATTCTCTTCTGTCAAATTGCCTATAAGGAGGAAGAATAAATTTTAGGGAGCACTAACATATGCTAACTTAGGCAGCACTCTCAAATAGCAATATTGAAAAATATCTAAAAATAATTGATACTTTTTAGTCAAAAACATTTTTAAAAGAGTTAAAATATCAAAACCGATTTAAAGGCATTTTTAAAAGTTCGGTTGAGAAATTTTTTGCGTTTTAGGTTCGGTATATAATAACAGTTAACCAGGTTTCACCGTACGGCTCATGCGGTTTAAATCCTTGGTTACACACGAACCTTAATATTAAATTTATCAAAATCTAAAATGGTCAGGCTATAATTATGTTTTTTATTATAAATTTGACATGGGTCTCTAAGTAGACTAAGAATATATTGGTATTGATTTCACGAGTTTAATATTAATAAAATTGATCTTACTAAGAGATTTTGAAAGTTTTTGTAAATGCCGCCTTATCCCATTTTGTAAGATCAAAAATTATACTTTGAATTTTAACTAGATCTTTCGCATCGGTTCTATATTTTTATCTCTAGGAAATCCTCCAATAAAAATTATACTCCATCTCTTATTTATTAAAAAATATTTTTTCGTAATTTTTTATTTTTTTACATATCTTGAAATATTGATTTAAAATTAGGTATGAATAAGAATTTTAAAAAAATCTCGAACATGTATAATATTGTTAAAATGATAACATATTAAATTATTAATTATGAAACTCTTAATTTTTGCATAATTTATATTTCGATAACATATTAAATTATTATTTATGAAACTCTTAATTTTTGCATAATTTATATTTCCATAAATTAAGATGACGAAAATCAGTGTTTCATGAGCATGTTTTTTGATCAATTCGAGTATTTTGTCAAGAAGCAGAAAGATGATCCCTCCAAAGTTTTAGTTTTATCCAAGGTTTGTTTATTTAAATTTAATATATTATAATAATTTCTCTTGGATTATAGCTCGTAGAATTCTTATCGCACATGGCCCGAAAAAGTCAAATAAACTCTATGTTAAACACAAATTGCGTTTGGTACTGCAATTCTCTGGTAAAAACAATCTATTTTAATTTTTATAGCCATAAAAAAGAGTTCTTAAGTTTGGAATGTGAATTAAAAGCCGTGTGATTTGGAGATTTTTTCAAATCTAACGCTTTCCGAAATTGATACTGTGGTATTTTTAAGTTTTCGATACGATTTAAAATTTTTAATAGTCTTGAAATTTAAAAGTGTCTTCAATATATTTGAATTAGAGACCTGAAAAGACTGGCCCGCTTACCTGATCAGGCAAAAAATTATAAAGGGCCGAGCCTGACAATTCATACAATTTTAACGGGCCGGGCAATTGTGCAAAAATTGTTAACAGGCTGTACGAACCAGGCCGGGCTTTGCAAACTAAATTCAATTTTTTTTAAATTTCAAGATCTAACCTATTCAATTTCACTTAATATGCTATTTTAAATTATATTTTGAGGACAAATTTAACTAAAAAAGCTGATTTTACATGGATATTGAATATAAATCTTCTTTTATTAAATTTCTAATTGAATTAATCTTGCCAAATTTAAAATCCTTTTCGATTAAATTAGTGCAATGTCTATTAAATGTTCTTCAATTACGATTTTTTTAAAAAAATATAACACAAAATTTTAATTAATGTTAGATTATAAGATAATAAATACTGCTTGGACTAGAGGACTTTAAAATAAAGTTATTAGGCAATGAACATTTAGCATTTCTAGCCATTATTTTTAAGTTTTACAATAATTTATATATATAGTTACCATTGGTTTTATTTCTATAAAATTATTTACAAGTTACTTCATCTATTAAACGAATGCGGATAAATATTAGGAAAAATATAAAAAATTAATAAAGAATAATATTAAAAATGATAATCTATCAGTGTTAGCAATAAGAAGTGTTCGAGGGGAGATAAAGCGAAGATTGTTATATTTCAATTAAAACTGAAATATACAAAAATCTCATGACACCAAATATTTTTATTTATAATAAACAAAAAGTTTTACAAATTTATGGCGGATGTGCTAGACTTTTTAAGCAACGAAATATATCCTTCCATAAAACGGGATCATCCACCTGACGTTGAGGATGATGAAATCATTGATAAAATGGAAGCTAACCTTCCGTCTAATATCGCAGATTTTGTCAAATCAATCGTGGTCAGCATTTTACAAATTTTGCACTTCCTCACCTCACGGCTCAGTTCTACCCCGCATATACACGAAACTAATTTCATAACCGATAACCCACTGAAAAACAAATATTGTCATTTTTATGATTATAACAAATTGTTGGTTTTGCTTTACGATGCACTATTCCTCTATTTTCCAGACAAGGAAAAGGATTTATTACATAGAGACAGTTAGTTATAGTGTTGCGTAATCGGCTAATTTTAGCCGACTAAAAACGGCTTAGCCGAGATTTTAGGTGGAAAAATCGGCTAAGCCTAATTAGGTATAGCCTAAAAATCGGCTAAGCCTAAAAATTGGCTAAGCCTAAAAATGGGCTAAGCTTAAAAATTGGCTAAAATAAATTAGTCAAAATTCTGCATCGATGCTTAGCATTAATTATTATCTATTTATTTTAGTAAAATAATTTATTTTATTTATATTTAATGTAAATATTTTATTATTATCAACAAATAAACATGATATGATTTAACATTTTTTATTTATTTTATTATATTTTGAAATGAAAATAAATTTATTTATTTGATGTTTTTTTAATAAAAAAAATAATATGCTGCTATATTGTAAAAATGTAATATTCTTTAAATATAATTTATTAGTGATTTTCACAATCTTCTTTGTAAATACATCTTTTTATTGAGGAATTATATTGTAAATTTTATTAGATAAATAAACAATCTTTTAGGTGAAATCTTTTATCATTTTTTTAAAATTATCTATTTATTATTAAATGAGGTAAATTTTATGAAACTTTTTTGATGTTATTTTATATGATCTTTTTAAGGATAATATTTTAATGTGACAATTGTCATAATCGTTCTTTTATAAGTTTTTTTAATTTTTTTGAAGAAAGTATGTTAAAATAAGTATTAATAACATGTGTAAATACAAATTTAGTGAAGATGTACCAATGAAAAGTGACAATTGTCATAATCGTTATTTTTAAAGTTTTTTTGACGAAAATATCTTAAAATAAGAATTAATAATATGTGTTAATATAAATTTAGTGAAGATGTACCAATGAAAAGTGACAATTGTCATAATGGTTAATTTTAAAGTTTTTTGAATTTTTTTGACGAAAATTTGTTAAAATAAGTATTAATAACATGTGTAAATATAAATTTAGTGAAGATGTACCATAGAAAAGTGACAATTGTCATAATCGTTATTTTTAAAGTTTTTTGACGAAAATATGTTAAAATAAGTATTAATAACATGTGTAAATATAAATTTAGTGAAGATGTACCAATGAAAAGTGACAATTGTCATAATCGCTATTTTTAAAGTTTTTTGAATTTTTTTGACGAAAATATGTTAAAATAAGTATTAATAACATGTGTAAATATAAATTTAGTGAAGATGTACCATAGAAAAGTGACAATTGTCATAATCGTTATTTTTTAAAGTTTTTTGAATTTTTTGACGAAAATATGTTAAAATAAGTATTAATAACATGTGTAAATATAAATTTAGTGAAGATGTACCAATGAAAAGTGAAAATTGTCATAATCGCTATTTTTAAAGTTTTTTGAAATTTTTTGACGAAAATATGTTAAAATAAGTATAATAACATGTGTAAATATAAATTTAGTGAAGATAGTGACATTTGTCATAATCGTTAATTTTGAATTTTTTTGAAGAAAATATGTTAAAATAAGTATTAATAACATGTGTAAATATAAATTTAGTGAAGATGTACCAATGAAAAGTGACATTTGTCATAATTGTTATTTTTAAAGTTTTTGGAATTTTTTTGAAGAAAATATGTTAAAATAAATATTTAAAACATGTTTAAATAAAAATTTAGTGAAGATGTACCATAGAAAAGTGACAATTGTCATAATCGTTATCTTTAAAGTTTTTTGAATTTTTTTGACGAAAATATATTAAAATAAGTATTAATAACATGTGTAAATATAAATTTAGTGAAGATGTACCAGTGAAAAGTGACAATTGTCATAATCGTTATTTTTAAAGTTTTTTGAATTTTATTGACAAAGATATTTTAAAATAAGTATTGATAACATGTTTAAATAAAAATTTAGTGAAGATGTACTCTAGATAAGCGACAATTGTCATAATCGTTATTTTTAAAGTTTTTTGATTTTTTTTGACGAAAATAGTTAACTTGCATCGATATTGATTTTAAAATAGAAAAAAAAGTTTACCCAAATTTTAAACAAGATTGTCTGATGAAAATTGGTAAAATATAATAATTTCTAACTTAGGATTAGATATTATGATATAAATTTTGCATATTAATTTCTGACCCGATGAACAAATGTAATAAAATGCCAATTTGCTCCTGTTTTTGGGGAAGAATCTATTATTACCATATGTTTTTCTATGGCATATACTCAGGCAATTTTAATTTTACAATCTATATTTTTACCCATTTTCATCAAAGAAATTTTAAAAATAACGATTATGACAATTGTCACTTTTCTATAGTACATCTTCACTAAATTTTTATTTAAACATGTTATTATTTCGTCAACAAAAATTTAAAAAATAATGATTATGACAATTGTCGCTTATCTAGAGTACATCTTCACTAAATTTATATTTACACATGTTATTAATACTTATTTTAACATATTTTCGTCAAAAAAATTCAAAAAACTTTAAAAATAACGATTATGACAATTGTCACTTTTCATTGTCTTCACTAAATTTATATTTACACATGTTATTAATACTTATTTTAACATATTTTCGTCAAAAAAATTCAAAAATCTTTAAAAATAACCATTATGACAATGTTAATTTTCTATGGTACATCTTCACTAAATTTTATTTAAACATGTTATCAATACTTATTTTAACATATTTTCTTCAAAAAAATTCAAAAAACTTATAAAATAACGATTATGACAATTGTCACTTTTCTATGGTACATCTTCACTAAATTTTTATTTAAACATGTTTTTAATACTTATTTTAACATATTTTCTTCAAAAAAAATCAAAAAACTTTAAAAATAATGATTATGACAATTGTCAATTTTCTATGGTACATCTTCACTAAATTTTTATTTAAACATGTTATTAATACTTATTTTAATATATTGTCGTCAAAAAAATTCCAAAAACTTTAAAAATAGCGATTATGACAATTGTCACTTTTCTTTGGTACATCTTCACTAAATTTATATTTACACATGTTATTAATACTTATTTTAACCTATTTTCTTCAAAAAAATTCAAAAAACTTATAAAAGAACGATTATGACAATTGTCACATTAAAATATTATCATTAAAAAGATCATATAAAATAACATCAAAAAAGTTTCATAAAATCCACCTCATTTAATAATAAATAGATAATTTTAAAAAAATGATAAAAGATTTCACCTAAAAGATTGTTTATTTATCTAATAAAATTCACAATATAATTCCTCAATAAAAGATGTATTTATAAAGAAGATTGTGAAAATCACTAATAAATTATATTATTAAGAATATTACAATTTTACAATATAGCAGCATATTATTTTTTTTATTAAAATAACATCAAATAAATAAATTTATTTTCATTTCAAAATATAATAATATAAATAAAAAATATTAAATCATATCTGTTTATTTGTTGATAATAATAAAATATTTACATTAAATATAAATAAAATAAATTATTTTACTAAAATAAATAAATAATAATTAATACTAATCATCGATGCAGAATTTTGACTAATTTAATTTTAGCAGATTTATATAGGCTTAGCCGATTTTTAGGCTTAACCTAATTAGGCTTAGCCGATTTTTAGTTTTAGCCGATTTTTAGGCTTAGCCTAATTAGGCTTAGGCGTAGTTTTTAGCCGATTACGCAACACTAGTTAGTTATATATTGTCTAATTTTTTTAAATGCTTAAGTCACATAGTATCTTCTCTTATTTGTATAGTATGCTTTTTTTGAATATGAATTATAATTACAAGGGCATTATGTGACTAAAAAGCTATAAAAACTTTTATATATTTGTTAAAAATTTATTATTATTAATTTTTAGTGATACTAGATTTAATAGAACCGTTGATGAGTCAAGAGGAAATAAGCAAACTTATTGAAGATGAAAATGATGTTTATGACATTGGCTAATCTATATTTTTAAAAAAGAAAGCATAACATATACATTTAGATAATTATATATTTAAAAAAAACGAATATGAAAAATAAACACTTGCAAAATTTTAAAAAAATGAATTTAGCAAATCATTGCCAAGTAATAGGTTCAACTATCCCCTTCGTTTATATAAATATTTTTTTCAAAAAATTCTCAAACTTTTTTGAATACATTGATTATCAATTGTCTATATCCAACATCAAGTTTCTTTTAACAACTCTAATAATTATGTTTATATTAGCATATAAATAATTTTTATTCGTTAATATGATATAATAGGAAGTCAAAAATTTCCAATCTATATCTAATATTCCCTGCCATTTCATTTTGTAGAATCTTATATCATATCTGTTAAAGTTGGTTGAACAATTGAAAGGACTAGTTCTAAAATCTATGCCACTATTTCGTGTTTGGTTAGTCATGAGTGCTTTAATCAGTATCGTAGGCAGTACAAAGGAATTGAATTATAAATAAAATAAAAACTGATCTCATACCTGAAGAATATAAAAGTTCTAAATATCCGGTTTTATTAATATTTAGTGTCTTATTGATTAATTTTTCATTCGATTTTGACAAAAAGGTAAAACTATAATATTGCACCTTCTGGAAGCATTAACTCTGAAACTTATATGAATAATTGGTGCGTTTAGTAAATAATCTAAAGAGACATTATTGGCAAAATAAAAAAAATTGACAATATGCTAGAAAATGTATGAATGTGCCAATATATAAGCCTGATTAGTACTCAGTGATTCATTGAACTGATAAATGTTACGTATTAGTTTTCTTTATAGGTGTTTCTACTGCAGCAGCTATTTGAATAGATTTATTTATATCTAAATTATCTTTTAGTCATGTGAATTCTTAAAGCAGTATTCAAATATTCTCCAAGTCGTCGATAATTTTGGAAGATTTTGTATAGTCTATTAATTATTTCTCATTTTCTGATTATATTGATACAAATTATATTAGGTTTGGAATGAAAATATTATGTATTTCTATCTTAGTTTCCCAGATTATCAGGTGCACATTAAATTTAGTATTTTGTAGTAATAACATCCTTTTACAATAAAATTTAGTATTTTGTAGTAATAACATCCTTTTACAATAAAATTTAGTATTTTGTAGTAATAACATCCTTTTACAATAGGAGAGATTTTTTTTGTGATGATGTTAAACTTTGTTGTTTTTAAATAGATCGTAAGCCTTTGTAGCACAGATTTCAATCCGCTTAATTTTTTGTTGACTGCACCATTTTTGTAGTATCTTTAACTATATTCGTAGTATTTTAGCCAGATAACTAATATATTTAATTCATTTTGGATTTGAAATTGTATAATATATTCGGAAATTGCAAAATATTATTTTATTTTCTCTAAAATCCTATTATCGTGTGTATTCAAATTCATAAATGCCAAAATAATAAACTAATATAACATTTACCCCCAATCTAATTGATCTGGTCGTAATCTTTTAGGATATCGATCTTGACCTGTTGTAGTTTCCGACTTTTGTATACTTCCTTTATCTTGATTTGTATCATTTTTCTCACTCCTTTAGGTTCATTTCATCGTTATTGTTTACTACGTTCTCTTTATTTACTATCTCTTTAGTTCTCTAAGCGAAATAAAAACGAAAGTACGCTTTACGCGCAGGTTTAAATATCGGATGTTAATTATGATTCAAAAAATCAATTAGATCTAAATACATTGAGGTTTCTATTTACTCGTTCGAAACATTTTTATAGATATTATTTTTTTTGATAAATGTAAAATCTCATATTTTGAATAAGTTATATTTTAAGAATGTGATATGAATTTGGTTGAACAGATGTGGCAAGTCGGTCAATTGACCGAAAGTATTTGACCAGTCAAATACTCTAAAATATTATTACTTCTGACCGGCCCACCAACTTGTAGAGTGCTCCTTATATTCAATTTTTCATCCAACCTAACTTATTCCAGTTGAGGAATACCTAGCATAGAACTTTCGATGATAGTGAGCAAAAGAGCTCTAAATCACGTATCACGTAAATGTTATAATTAATGAGAAAGAAAATGCAATAGTAATTAAATAATGCATTAAAAGAAAATATACCGAACAAAGAAAGGAAATATTACCCTAGGGAGGAATGAAGTTGAACCGACAAATTTACTAGGCAATATTTTATTTTTTCTAATATACCCGGCAGGATCTAAAAAAATTTTTTAAAAAAAATACCCGAACCAGGCCGTATATTTTAAAATCAAATATTTTAAATCGTCATTATTCGTTATAAAAATTAAAAAAATATGGCCGGGCCGAGTCAAAAAAAATTTTCCCAAAAATATCCGGGGCAAATGGCACCTCTACACGTGTCTGATGATTAAATTAACCAGTTTATCATATTTAATAGCATAATAAAATATAAATCTGATTTTGATTAATTTATTTCTTAGAATTTTTGGAAAATCAATTTTTCAGAAATGATATTTTTATATTATTTATCGGAAAAATGTTATTTTATATATTTAAGATAAATCTTTTGAAAATATAGAAAAGTTTGTGGATATTATACATAAATTATTATAGATTTTATGGTAATGGCACTTGTTCATGTATATTATAAGTTTTTAAATACCCAGAAAATCAGCATACGACAAATCTTATTTCCCACAATTTGAAAATATTTTAGAATTAAATCCTATAAAATGTATTCTTTAGTTACGGATAAAGCTGTTAATATAGAAGCTGCTTAGAGATAAAATGTTTTCAGTAGCAACGCTGCTATGTACATATTTTTGAGGAAAAAAGTATTTACTAATGCTTAGTGTAACGATAAAAAACGAAATAATAATGGTAATGTGATAAGGCGTCCATGGAAACAAGGGAAGCATTACTTTCTTTTTTACTTTTCTTAAATTGCTACATTAAAATCAATGATAGTACTTTTATGTATTTTGTAGGGATGTACCGATATTTTTTATCAGATCGGATCGGGCCGATATTTCACCCATAAAATATTGGTTATCGGCCAATATTATAAAATTTTCCGATCCGATATAAAATGGCATCTTTAACAAAAATAAAATTTTAAAAAATTTATTTTTATGAATAAAATCTAAATCCATTTTTATGTATATTTATTTAATAATAATAATTAATTATTAAACTTTCTGCCATATTGTTTTTTTTTGCGCATTCTGTTTATAAAAGTGTGCGATAATCTCTTCAGAATTTGTTTTTAGTGTAGCTGGTGATATTTACAGTTACCATTGCTGTAGGCTGACCTCTGATAAATTGGAAATATTGGTATTTCTAAAGAGAAATCTTCGATATATTAATGTTAAATATTATTTTAAATATTTATTTCAAATTTCATAATATAATTGTTTATTATGTATATAGAATAATGTTATTACTTATTATATAAATGATTTATCAATAAAAATATTTTATATACTTTTAAAATTGCAATTGAATTGAATATAAATTATAACTGATCATTATAATATAATTAAATGACATAAGTTATGGTATATTTAAATTATAGATGTTATACTAATAAAAAGTATATTAAAAATTAAAACCATTCGTATCCTTACAGAATACAAAATTAGATATGATATCGGATCGGTAATCGGCCAATATCAATTTAATATCGGATCGGATCGGCCTCTAAAACGTGGTATCACCCCTAGTATTTTGTTTTATTTACTTGTCCGAATCAAAAGCAGACTCATAAATTACTTTTGTTTTTAGATTTAATTCCCTTAGCCCTGACTAAAAATTGGATTCCGGCTCACTGACCAATTTTTTCTTAGTTAATAAGATTTTCAATAGGCGCATTTTATATAGTTAAGAAATTATTAATATAACATAATTTGTAAGAAGCTTTCATGATTTGTGCTGCATAACATTTCGAATATGAAAAAGAATATATATAAAATAATAATTTCGGCTTGCGTATCATATAGCAAATATCTCGAGGTAATGTAGTAAATTTTTTGCCCTGGGTCTATTGGATGGATTGATGTCGATGCATTTAAGAACTAATTTTTCCTTTTAAAAATATATAATTTTATTAATTTTAAATTCTTAAGTTTACATATATTGAGTAATTTTCTTTTAAAGAAACATCAAAATTATCCAAATTCTTAATGTTCATCAAGGATTTAATTCTCTCTGATTCGGTATTAAAATCTTTCAATAATTCATAAAGAATTATTCCAGCACTATATATATCCACCTTTATTAAATTAATATATAATGTAAAAATGTAAATTTTAAATATATCGTCTTCTGATTAATTAAAGGCATTGACTCTACTCTTGGTCTATATTGAATTTAGATTCCACTCCACCAGTGTTGCATAATTATAAAAAATTCGATATGCATTAGGGTACGGGATATTATTTCCCGTATTATTCAAGATTGCGATCCTTTCAGCGAAAACCTCGAAAATGGTTAGGATAAAAATTGGGTGGCGCCAGTTCTAGAATCAGATCAAAATAAATAGATTTACCATCAATAACCTAGACTTATATTTAAAAAAAAATATATAATTAAACCATTTATCTTGTAGTTGTATAGAGAAATTAATAATGTTCGATTAAAAAAATTTACTAACACAAATAATAATATTAAGAATGCACTCATCTAGAGTTTAAAATGGTCTTCAAAATAAAAAATTGAAGATATTTTTGAGAATGCTCAAATAAGTTTATTGATTAATTTTTTTTAAAAAATTCGATTTTTGGTAAAAAAATCGTTCATGATAAAATAACAAATTTTTTAAAAAATGATTTTGATCTTTTTAAAAGAAAATCCATCTTACCTATATTTTTTAAATGATAAAGAAAATGATTAGACCACAAAATGTTGTTAAACAACCCCATACTTTTATAATAAAATACTAATTTTTTAAAATACTAGCCCATATCTGTGTTTTAGGTCTATTAGGCAGAGACCCGAACCGTAGTTTAATTCTTTTAAATATACCCGGGCTGGACCTAAATTTTTTTAAATACCTGATTTGGCCCGGACCTAAAATTTTCTTTATAAAAATTCCGGGTCGTATATTTAAAATCGAATATCTTAAATCACCAAGCTATAAAAATTAAAAATCCGAGCCGGGCCGTGCTAATGGTACATCTGCAGGTCTCTTCTTTTAGGCAAGTTTTGGGTATGGAATGGCATTTTTATTTTTTGCTAAAACGAATTTTACAAGTATGGGAGGAGGAGGGGGGGGGTTGGTGTGTTTTTGACTGCTACAATGCCCAAAAGTTCATAATTATAATAAACTATAAGAACCAGAAAAATCATATTTTTGCTGAACCCGAACCCATTTTAAAGGTGGAGGGCTCGGGGTTACAAAAGAAATATTAGAAAAAAAAATTTTTGCCACTTTTTATTAATATATAAATTAATTTATGAACTGTTATATATTAGAAACATTAATTTATTTAATAATATTAAATTATTATTTAGTTATATTTAAGAACTACTTTAGATCAATTGTCGACGAACATTATGATTCTATATTTAATATTCAAATGGACAGTAGGATGAATAACCTTTATATTTTATTAACTTAGAATTTCATTTTATCATTTGATAAAATAAAAGCTATTACAAACATGCCAGAACCTAAAACAAAAAAGAAATTATCAACATTCTTGGGCATGGCTAGTTATTATCGTAAATACTTATAATTTCGCGGATATAGCACACCTTTTATATAAAATAGTCAACAAAGATTGGTCATGAGAAAGTACACATGTGAAAAGCTTCGATAATTTAAAAAAGTTAATAAGTTAACCACCATCGTTAAATTTTTATAATCCAGATTTACCTATAGGTATTGCAGCTGACGCTTCGAAAAAAGGTTTAGGTGATTAATGAAGGAGATGGAAAGGAAAACCCAATCACTTTGCTAAAATCAGAAACAAATTGTACAAATAGTGAAGGAGAAGCCTTAGCAATCATTTATGCTACCAAAAAACATTAGAACAAAATTACAATAGTACAGACCATAAGTCAGATGTATATTTTTACCAAATATTTAAAGATGACACTTCAATGTCCATGAGATGATAAAAATGAAATTTGACGATGGGAACCCAAGATTTCACATTAATTCCTGGAAAACTTAACATTGTATAAGATTGTTTATCGCGATTACCACAGACAAATATAGAAAATAGGATATAAAATGTAGATTTTGAAATGAATAATAATGAATTATGGGATATACCGATAAATAATGATAGTAAAAGAAACAACTGATGATAAAGAATTGATGAAGATTATTAATAATATTAGGAATGAATTGATAAAATATAAAATTTACAAAAATATGGAAACGGAATTAAGTTTGATCAAAGATTGTCTTTTTAAAGAGAATAGAATTATAATACCATACAAGATGAGAAATGAAGGACATTTAGAAAGTGGGAAAACTAAATTATTAGCAAAAGATTATTTATGGTGGCCAAGAATAATTTTGGTTTTTACTTTTTTTAAGAAATTTTGAATTATAGTTATTATTTAAAAAAAATATTAATTTTCTTATGTTTCTTTCAAATTATTGTTTATAATAACATATTGTGAACATTGAGGGGGGGGGGGTATTTATTCGCTTAAAAGGTTATTAGAGAATGAACAAATTCCAGAAGGGGGGAACCACTGGTTTAAAAATAGTAAATAAATTATTTAATTCCTATGTTTTTGAATATATCTACTAGATAGGGGCAAAAAAATGGCCAAGAGTAGGGTGCCTATATTTAATTTGAGCAAGCCTCACAAGTATTAGCAAAAAAATTTCAGCGAAATTATATTGAGTAAATATTAGAGCAGAAATAGGTTAACCTTGAAATCATAATTTCCATTAGTTGATGAGTTATTCTGTTCGGGTGCTGAGTATAAGCTGGTGCCAATGTTTGTAGTGAATAAACGTCTCCCAGAATCAATTTTAACATTGTTATCAAAATGTATTATACCTTCTCTTTTGTGAGATTCGATATTTTCATGATTAAAATTTAAGTTTTTATAAGGTGGTATAATGGGTTTATAAGAAGTGGCCAGTCCAAAATCGCCTATAACAGCTGTATAATTGGCCTTATCATTATTACATTGATGACAATCAACAAATATATTCTCGGGTTTTATATCTCTGTGAATCGTAAGGCAAGTGTCGTGTATATATTGCAACCCATTTAATATGTCTCGCCATAATCGAAGCTTTAGCTTGGAGTCAAAATTCGTGTTAGCATCTGGGTTTAATAAAATTTGTCTTAAGGTCAGAGGATAGTACCTAGTTTGTATGTACAAGAGCGATTTTAGGAAGTAATTAGGCCCATTGCTTGGAAAGGTCGAATTATCATACCTTCCTGATTCATCTAGGTAAAAATCGGATTGGACCCAGGAGTTGTAATACTTTATAACATTTGGATGACATAGTTTTGATAAGACTTTCGCCTTTCATTTTTTAAAAAAAACAGATTTATATTTTATTAAATTATAATTTTAAAGGTAATGCGATTCCAAATCTACAGAAACAATAAAAGGAGGGGGTTAGGACCGCCATTAAAATTTAAGCAGATATAGGTGGTAATTTTATTTTTTAAGAGAAGGATATTTTTAATAGAAGCCTATAAAAAAGAATTTTTGTTGACCCGTTTAAGAAAATCACGCCGGCGCGCCGCCTATTTTCATGTCGGCGGCGCACGGCCGGAGCAGAAATTTCTTTCATATTTTATACCTTTTTATTCTAATAATTGGTCAACATCACTTTTGTAATTTTTTATTGTCAATCAGGATTTTGATGAATTTTTATTTTCTACTATTTTAAAATCATTATATTGACTCATATAGAATTGGATCAATCAAAAATCTAAAAATTCCAAAAGTTACCATAATTTTACATATTTTTAAAATTTAATAATTTTATAAATAATTTTAGTATCCCTGGATAATAAAAAATCCATAGTCTGGAAATTTTTTGCAAAAGAATTAGAGAAATTATTACTGCTCTAAGATATAAAACTGCAGAAGTTAAATTTGAATTCGAGGAATATCAAAGAAAATGCCTAAGTACATTAGATTTAACAATAGACATGTTAGACCTTGACAGCATTGATCTATACCCGAGTACCAGTTTTCAAATTGGCAATTCCAATGATAATAATAACAATAATTCCACGTATATGAAAACCTTAAAATTAAATGTCCCAAGCCCAATACGTTGGCATAGTATATTAATTATGCTAGAAAGCATATCTGGATTAAATAAGGATTTAATTAATGTTTTGAAAAGAATTGGGAAGCACTTTCTATGAATCTGATCTGGTAGAAGAACTATTAGCATTTCTTTCAAAATTTAAAGAAACTGTCGAATTTCTTTCAGTACAAAAAAGGCCTACTTTAAACTTGGCGTTACTTTTTAGAAGTGAAATTGAAACACATTTAATAGTAAATGATAGTGATAGTTCTGAAATTATTTCACTTAAGGAAAATATACTAAAAAAACTTGCGTTATTCCGGTTTGTAATCTGCAAGTAATATTATATAAGTATATTTTTGTTTTTTATTTAAAATTATCCAGGTATTGGCTTCTCTTTTAGATCCAAGATTTTAAAAATTGACAATTGTGTCAAAGTATTTAATAGAGCAAAATTGCTCAACTTCGGAATTTATAATAAAACATCTTAAAACTTATAGAGAATGATGATAATCAAGTAGTAAATATAGCTAATGAAGATGAATTATTAAATTCAAGTTATTTCACAAAATTGGCAAATAAACATTCAACAAATATAAATTATGATTCCAAGTTAGGTGACTTAGAACAAGAATGCCAGTTTTCTTGGAAAACGACATTCACAAGATATAGACGTTCTAAATGTTTGGAGAGAAAATAAGAGTGAACTTCCCAATCTTTCCAGTCTCGACAAAAAAATTCTTTGCATTCCGGCGACTAGCACACCTAGTAAAAGAGTTTTCTCTATCGCTGGATTGACGTTAAATTCAAGGAGATCATCATTATGTCCCGATAATTTAAATAAAATAATTTTTATACATGATAATTATAAAATTACGAAATCGATTTTGGATTTATAATGAGTTTTCTATTAAATGAATAATAAAAAATATGCCGAGATATCTGTAGAATAGTGTATATTTATTTGTTTTTTTTTAAAAAATTAATAAGCAATTAAAAAAATTTATGCTATAAAAATTTATAACTGCGCCGATTTTATTGACGGCGACTAAAAATCGGCGCGCCGCCAGCCGTCGATTAGATTTTTGAAAATTGCGCAGGCCGCCGATAGTTTTGTCGGCGCACAGGTCTAGATATGACATATTCTAAGGAATATATATTAGATTATTAAATTTACTTTATAAATAAATAGCCATTTTTATATAGATTTTTATTTGCACTTATTTAATCTTAATTATATATAATTTACAACTTACATTTTTTAAAAATATTTTACCAAGTGATTTTGTACTTCTCTTTGTCTCAATTTAATAATACACAAATAATAATATCCTAAAATAGATATTATTATATATTATCATCATTTATAAAAAAAACTTTTATTAAAATATACTTTGCTGGGCAAAATTTAAAAATTTTTACGAAAAATGGCTGACCCTTAAATATAACAAAAATGATCCCAAGAAAAAATGATCAAAAAATGTTTTTTTTAAATTAATATTTTTTTTTGAATAAAAAAACAATTGTTTTAAATAGTAACAATTTTAAATAGGAAATATTTTATAAATGAAAATAGTAAATTACATGTTCTTTATATTATATTATTTTTAACATAATTTAAAATAAATTTTTTAAAAATTAAAAAGAATTTTTCTTTTAAAAAAGATTTGACACTGAATCCTAAATTTTGAAAAAAGGGTTTGGGTTCAGCAAAATATCGAGGTTTCAGGTTTTCATCCCTGATAAAAATAGAAGATTTGAGTGATTGAAGTGATATTTTATTTTAAAATATAAAACATGACAAAAAAGTCAAACATAGCCAGCCAACATTAATTTTTTAGTGGGTAGGAGTAAGTTTTCATGACAATAAGCCGGCAGTAAAATTTAAAGAAGATAAAGGTTATAAATATGGTAATGAGTGGGTCTCAAGATAATAAAATCGAATAATGAAATATTTTTATTTCATTGCTAAATTTCGATTTTTGTATTATTATATTCGTACAAACCAACAAATATTTTGGGTGCATAATTCATAATTAGATAAAATTATAATAAAAGTAGTTATTTTTAATATAAATTTATTTTAAAAAGCGAATTGTTTATTTTAAAATATGATTAGGAATGTAAATTTCCCGTGTAACTATAATCTGAGAAAACTTGGGAAAAACGGAAAAATAGAAAAACATAAAGAAATTTTGCTTTAAAAAATATTTTACTAGATATGATTCTTTTTTCTTTCATGTTTTATTATAAACATATATTAAGATATTATTTAAACAAATACGATATAATTTCAATGTTTAAAGATGAAAACAATCTCAGATCAGAACTTGAGCATCTAAATCAAGCAATTTGTCCTTTGGAGAAGTTTCCCCACAAACTGGAGATTTGCTTGTATAAAAATCAGTTTCCTAACCTCCATTTTTCAAAATTATTTTCAATTTTATGTTTTTTATAATACTTTTGACCTTTGCTACAAATTTTTAATTAGCAATATTTTATTTGCTATATCCTTTAAAAGTAAATTCAGTCCATGAGTTTCAAACTCTATGCATTAGATAGTTGGTATTTATTTCTTACAAGTGTCCATGCTTTCTTCAAATTACTTGTATTTTCAGTTATTATGATTGTGCTAATTTTGTGTTTTCTATCTCTTCAATTACTTGCATAAATTTATTAAATATATATTCCCCTATGTATATTGGTCTCAGTTTAAATTTACTAGAATATGTGACTTGGCCTTGTAATAAAATTTAAATGTACTCTCCTCTAGTGTTGTTAAACGGCTAAGCCGAGTCGACTTAGCTACGACTCGAGCCTAGTTTCTAGTCGATAAAACGGCTCAGACTCGAGTCGACTAAATGAGCCGCATTAGTCGACTCATTTAGTCGGCTCGCTTAGTCGGCTCGCTTAGTCGGCTCACTTAGTCGGCTCGCTTAGTCGGATCACTTAGTGGACTCAGAGGTTAGCTTGAGTTTAATTTAAATTTAGAGTCAAAATTTATTTTTATGTTATTAGATATTTTAAATAATAATGTAGAATTTTATTTATTTATTTTTAGTGAAATAATTTATTTTATTTAAATTTAATGTTAATATTTTATTATTAGCAAACAAAAAATTTTTTTAAATTTTATTTCAAATATGTTTTGATCTTATAATAAAAATGGATTTATTTATTTGATTTTTTTTAAATAAAAAAAAATTCATATTTTCGAGCTAAAAATTTTAAGCAAAAAATAATTTTTGAACAAAAATATTGAAACATATTTTGTTGGTTTTTTTAATAAATTTTTAACTTTTTTAAGAAATACTTTTGTTAATTTTATCATAAATAAATAATCTTTTAGGTCAAATCTTCTATAGTTTTTTTATATTATTTTTATAAATATATCTATATTTTAAGTTTATTTTATTATAAGAGGTGGTTTTTCTAAATAATTTTTTTATTAATATATCTATATTTTAAGAATATAAACTGGTTTTTCTTTTTCTAAATAATTTTTTTTATAAATATATCTATATTTTAAGTATATTAAAAGAGGTGGTTTTTCTAAATTATTTTTTTATTAATATTTATGTCAAACTTTTTTTAATGCGACAATTGTCATATGCGTTATTTTTTAAGATTTTTGAAATTTTTGGACACAAAAGGGTTATAATATAATTTATATTGTAAAGATATTATATTATAAATTCAATGAAGATGTTCCCTGGAAAAATGATAATTATCATAATAGGTAGGTATTTTTGAACATATAAGATTTTTTTGTGACGCTAATGGGTAAAAATATGTTTCTTTAACAGGTAAAATTTAATGTAGATGTACCCTAGATAAAAGACAATTGTCATAATAGTTATTTTTAAAGTTTTTCGAATTTTTTTGACGTAAATTGGCTAAAATAAGCTTTGCTAACATGTTTAAATAAAATTTTAGTGAAGATGTAAGATAGATAAGTGACAATTGTCATAATCGTTGTTTTTAAAGTTTTTCGAATTTTTTTGACTTAAATGGGCTAAAATAAGCATTGCTAACATGATTAAATAAAATTTTAGTGGAGATGTACCATAGATAAGTGACAATTGTCATAATCGTTGTTTTTAAAGTTTTTCGAATTTTTTTGACGTAAATGGACTAAAATAAGCATTGCTAACATGATTAAATAAAATTTTAGTGGAGATGTACCATAGATAAATGACAATTGTCATAATCGTTGTTTTTAAAGTTTTTCGAATTTTTTTGACGTAAATGGGCTAAAATAAGCATTGCTAACATGTTTAAATAAAATTTTAGTGGTAATGTACCCTAGATAAGTGACAATTGTCATAATCGTTGTTTTTAAAGTTTTTCGAATTTTTTTGACGTAAATGGGTTAAAATAAGCATTGCTAACATGTTTAAATAAAATTAAGTGAAGATGTACCCTAGATAAGTGACAATTGTCATAATCGTTGTTTTTAAAGTTTTTCGAATTTTTTTGACGTAAATGGGCTAAAATAAGCATTGCTAACATGATTAAATAAAATTTTAGTGGAGATGTACCATAGATAAGTGACAATTGTCATAATAGTTATTTTTAAAGTTTTTGACGTAAATAGGCTAAAATAAGTATTGCTAACATGTCTAAATATAATTTCAGTGAAGATGTACCCTAGAAAAGTAACAATTGTCATAATAATTATTTTTAAAGTTTTTTTAATTTTTTTGACTTAAATAGGCTAAAATAAGTATTGCTAACATATCTAAATAAACCTTCAGTGAAGATGTACCCTAGATAAGTGACAATTGTCATAATCATTATTTTATAATTTTATTGATGCAAATCGATAAAAATATAGATTTTAATCATGTTAATTTAAGCTCGCGTGTTGTTATTATGGCATTTATATATCAAATTGTTTAATTAATTAAAAAGTAAATGTTTAGCATGAATTATAATTTTATTCATATAAATAAAACTTATATTTTATATATTCGTTTGTTTAAATCAATTTATTTTATATTAACCTATTAAACAATTAATTTAAGAATGTATATAAATTACAACGATTATGACAATTGTCACTTATCTATGGTACATCTCCACTAAAATTTTATTTAAACATGTTAGCAATGCTTATTTTAGCCCATTTACGTCAAAAAAATTCGGAAAACTTTAAAAACAACGATTATGACAATTGTCACTTATCTATGGTACATCTTCACTAAAATTTTATTTAAACATGTTAGCAAAGCTTATTTTAGCCCATTTACGTCAAAAAAATTCGAAAAACTTTAAAAACAACGATTATGACAATTGTCACTTATCTATCGTACATCTTCACTTAAATTTTATTTTAACATGTTAGCAATGCTTATTTTAGCCCATTTACGTCAAAAAAATTCGAAAAACTTTAAAAACAACGATTATGACAATTGTCACTTATCTAGGGTACATTACCACTAAAATATTATTTAAACATGTTAGCAATGCTTATTTTAGCCCATTTACGTCAAAAAAATTCGAAAAACTTTAAAAACAACGATTATGACAATTGTCACTTATCTAGGGTACATCTCCACTAAAATATTATTAAACATGTTAGCAATGCTTATTTTAGCCCATTTATGTCAAAAAAATTCGAAAAACTTTAAAAACAACGATTATGACAATTGTCACTTATCTAGGGTACATCTTCACTTAAATTTTATTTAAACATGTTAGCAATGCTTATTTTAGCCCATTTACGTTAAAAAAATTCGAAAAACTTTAAAAACAACGATTATGACAATTGTCACTTATCTATGGTACATCTCCACTAAAATTTTATTTAATCATGTTAGCAATGCTTATTTTAGCCCATTTACGTCAAAAAAATTCGAAAAACTTTAAAAACAACGATTATGACAATTGTCACTTATCTATCTTACATCTTCACTAAAATTTTATTTAAACATGTTAGCAAAGCTTATTTTAGCCAATTTACGTCAAAAAAATTTAAAAAACTTTAAAAACAATGATTATGACAATTGTCATTTATCTAGGGTACATCTACATTAAATTTTACCTGTTAAAGAAACATATTTTTGCCCATTAGCGTCACAAAAAAATCTTATATGTTCAAAAATATACCTACCTATTATGATAATTATCATTTTTCCAGGGAACATCTTCATTGAATTTATAATATAATATCTTTACAATATAAATTATATTATAACCCTTTTGTGTCCAAAAATTTCAAAAATCTTAAAAAATAACGCATATGACAATTGTCGCATTAAAAAAAAGTTTGACATAAATATTAATAAAAAAATAATTTAGAAAAACCACCTCTTTTAATATACTTAAAATATAGATATATTTTTAAAAAAAATTATTTAGAAAAAGAAAAACCACCTCTTTTAATATTCTTAAAATATAAATATATTTATTAAAAAAATATTTAGAAAAAGCCACCTCTAATAATAAACTTAAAATATAGATATATTTATAAAAATAATATAAAAAAACTATAGAAGATTTGACCTAAAAGATTATTTATTTATGATATAATTAAAAAAAGAATAAAATTTTATGATAAAACAAAAGAATAAAATTTCTTCAAAAAATCAGCAAAATATGTTTCAAAAATATTTTTTGCTTAAAATTTTTAGCTCAAAAATATTAATTTTTTTTTATTTAAAAAAAATCAAATAAATAAATCCATTTTTTTATAATCAAATCAAAACATATTATTTGCATTAAATAAAATATAAATAAAATAAATTATTTTACTAAAAATAAATAAATAAAATTCTACATTATTATTTAAAATTTCTCAATAGCATAAAAATAATTTTTGGCTCTAAATTTAAAATAAACTCAAGCTACCCTCTGAGCCCACTAAGTGAGCCGACTAAGTGAGCCGACTAAGCGAGCCGACTAAGTGAGCCGACTAAGCGAGCCGACTAAGTGAGCCGACTCATGCGGCTCCTTGATCGGCTTGAGTCGGAGCCGTTTTTTACGACTACGACTCGAGTCGCAAGTCGTAAGAACTCGACTTTTTAACAACACTACTCTCCTCTTATGTTTGTCAATCCATCACTAATGAGGGTGATATTTATAATTATATATAATCATTTAATTACCATTTTTTTAATTTTTTCATATTTAATGTTTAACCTATTTTTACTGAGATATCTTGAAGGCATTTTAATGCAGATTTTAAAGATTAAAATAATTTCTTCTAATACACACATTGAATTATGAAAAGTAGACAATTTGACATAATGATAACTTTTGCAAATCCCAATAACTAGTTTACTTTGCTCTTAAGATGGTATACTATCATTATAACATTAAATTGTTTTGTTCTTTTGGAAATAATAATTGATTCAGTTTTCTTAATTAAAAATTATCTTTGTAAATTTCATCTGTATTAATTATAAATATATTCTAAGCTAGATAATTTAGAAAATCTTAATAATTGTAAAAGAGATAGAATAATGATTAATTTGGAGACTTAAAATTTTATAATAAAAATTAAGAATTTAGCTTCAAGCAAATTGCTGTTACCTCTATAAAATTTCTATCAGTCTGCCTATAATTACATGATCTGTCAGATTTATTATTAAATAAATGAATTAATCTTTCATAATTCATATCCTTCAAAACTATAATTAACTACCAACCCTTTCCCATATCTCTCTTACCATTAATCATTCTTTATCCTTCTCAGTTATTATATGTTCTAACTTTAAATATATTTCTGCTATTAAAAAATTTCCTTCATACTTGAGTTGAGCTAATATTATATTCTCAAAAATGATTGAGATTGAAATACAAACAAAACACAATTAAGATTTAAGAACTGAAAACTTTTAGTATAATATAGGAAAAAATGTGATTATTTGATCAAAAAACACATAAAAATTGGGGGAATTTTGTATTTGCCTTATGTTAAATCCCTATATGATTATTGGAAGTTTTAAAAAAAAAATCATCAAAAAAATTTTTGAATTCATCCTTAAAGATTTTTTATGTATGAAAATTACAAAAGATTTATTTATTTAAGATTTTTTTAAAAGAATATAAAATTTGATAAATAATTTGTTCTTCAGAAATTTATGCTCATTTTTTTTTTTTAAATTCTGATTTATGATAATCAGAACAAGATGTAGAAGGGTCCTATTATTTACTTTGCTTCTGATTGTAAACTATTTATTTTAATTTGGCTTTAGAAAATATTTAACAAAAAGTTAACATAACAATCAAAACTATAAATTTAAGGGGTATTTGATTTAAAGTGGCTTTAATTCTAAAAAATTTTAATTATAAATATTTCTATATAATTTTAAGATTAAAAAATAATTCAAAAATTTAAGATTTTAGAAAATTTAGAAATAATTTATATTTATTATTCTTTTAATATTTATAAATTTTTTTAATTTTCAATATGTCTAGTCATGAGTTTGATTAGTGTAGGCCTCCCCTTTCCTAAAAAACAAATATTCTTATAGATCTTTTCATATATTTTGAGGCCTCTAAATATATAAAAATTTGAAAACGAACTTAAATAATTTTGACAAAATGTAATTTGTCTAATTTACCTCTCTTAAAATGGATGCTATTTTATTGTCAATATAACCAACACTGTATTTGTGGTAACAGGTTGATAATAAATCCATCCATTTCAATTTTATTTTTTTAATTGCATAAGTAGAATCATCCATTTTATGATAAGATTTATATACTGAGCCATAACCCCCTTTACCAATCAAACAAATTTCATTAAATGTTTTACTGTATGTGCTATTTAAAAAATATTTTAAAGCCAGGATAGTACATTTACAAAGTATTCATAGGTACAAAGTTAACAGGCTCATTATTAAATGGAGTTCCAGTTTCTGTAAATAATTTCAAAAAATATTCCCATATATTTTTTCTTGAATTTGCAAATTCAGGTGACATCATTATATTTGGTATGATGTTTAATGATTTTAGTAGATTTGTTAGTCTAATGATTATATATCATCTTAATTGTTTGTATACACATCTGATAATTACCTTTTTAGTTTGTTGATGTCATTGGATTTATTAAGCATGTAATATAAATTCTCAATAAGACTACATAAAATAAGCCAAAGAGCAGAACTAGGTCTAGCAGAAAATTCTTTTATGTCTGACTTTCCATCTACTATTAAATCGGAATCTTTATTAATGGAAATCAATTTAAAAATGGGTGCTAATACAACTCACAATCGAATCTCTTTATAGTGTGGATTTGGTTATGTTTATCAGGTTGCTTGAAGTTTGGTTCAAAGGACATAATGTCTATTTAAATATTCGCTCCTACATATGTGATAACGCAAAATATAAAAGATAGAGAGATTGACATTTACTTAGAGTGTGTTCAGCTGTTATATAATTTGTTAGCTGTCATGATATGTTGATCTAAAATTTGACAACTTTTTTGGCGAAAAAAATGGATTCATTTATAACCTCTTCACATTCTAATCTAAATCCCTCTATGGTAACCAAATTTATAGTTTATTAATCTAAAATTTATATAGGATGAAAAATGTATTATGCATCCAAAATCTTTAGAGAAACCGATGATGCCTAATATTAAATTTAGTAAAAATGTAAGAGTATTTTATATATAAAAATATATATACTTAATAAAGATTTGGGAACATGTTAAAAATCAATATCCTGATGCAAAAATTTCTGAAATTAATCAAATTATTGGTCAAATGTGGCGAGATTTAAATATGAATGAAAAACAGGAATATTTTGATCGATATGAAATTGAAAAGGTCATTATATTATTCTATTTTAAATTATTAACCAATAATTTTACAGAATGAATATGAAAAAAATATGAAATTATACCAAAATTCTTCATCTTATCAATCATATTTGGCAATAAAGTTAAAAGGTATCTTGATAGCATATTACTTTTAAAAATCATTTATTTTATTAGAAGAATCAGATTTTAATAGTTCAATGATATCCTCTATGAATCAGGTTAATCCAAACAATCATTACAGTTCTTCACAGATCTTTGGAAATGGAGAATCAATGAATTCATCTATGACAGGAGTATATGGAATGTCACACCAATATAATAATCAAAATATTTTGAACACCGCTGATAATTTAACTTCTCGTTTAATGAATAATGACCATTTTATGGCAAATCAACCACCTTTTGCTACTCAAACAAGTAATGAATTTAATATACCCTTTTCACCATATACCACCAAATATATGGGGCCTATGCTGATAAATAATTCTGCATATATAAGTAATTCTCCAAAATTACAATCCCTTTCTTATGAATCTAAATTTCCCAACAATTATAATAATAGTATCCCTTTGCCACCTTCGCATCCAATAAATTATAATATTGCAAATCACCAACAACACATTCCACCTATTAATAATCCAATACATCTTAAAAACAGTAATCCAAATATACAGCCTAATAATTTTTATCAGCCATCTAGGCCACCTGGAGTGCCTCCATTTGTGCATAACCAGCAACATGGCAGTACTGACTCTAAGCTTAACAATATGATAGGCTCTATATATCCACATCCACCTTCTGAACCAATATTTATTCATCCTCAAGCCCCATCTTACATAAATTCTTATAATCAAAATGTACCACCAAACATAGCACATATTAATCAAAACCATTTTCAAGCTAATGCCCCTATAGAGTCCTTGCAATATTCACATCATCAACATCCACCCCCACCCCTTAATGCACCGCGACCTCAAGCTCCCAATATTTCACAATATCAAGCACACCCAATTGTTCCCACCATGCAGCAAATAAATTCACTACAATCTATTAGCTCAATGAATATAGGCAATCAAATAAATGTAGTTACTCCTTCATTAGAACGTATGCCTCACATGGCACCACCATTTCCTAATAGGCCTCTCTCCAATAATTTAGGCAGTAGCACCTATTTAACATCACATTTAACAATGAATAATGTGCCAACATCAGTTCATCTAAATAGCAGCCTTTTTACTGATGAGGGAATTAGTGATTTTGATTATGAAGATCTTCTGACCTCCTCTAACCCTACTCCCTTACCTCTTGGCTCAAACAATTCCAATTCTCAAACATACCTGATAGGGATAGATGATAGTTTTGAAAAATATTCAAAAAGAATTTCTAGTTACAGATTTAATAGGAATACAAGATTGATGCTTGAAATTTTTTCTGAAGTTTGTGTGCCAGATACTAGAACCATTGTGACTAGTCAAAGGATGGCTGTTCTTAAAAGGCAAGTTCTATCACTCAATTCTCATCAAGTAAATTTCAACTTTTTAATAAGTTTCAATTTTTGGCTTATATATAACTTATTAAATTATGCATTTACATTTTTTTCAGGTTAATTATGTTACTTTTTTCCTTTTTAAAGCTTAATACTGACTTTAATAATATTAATAGTTTAAAAAATCCAATAATTTTAACAATATATTATGCATTTAGAAAAAGCTTGAAACAGAATTAGATGACATCAAACAAAAATTTAAAATTAAAAAAGATTTGATCAAATCATCATCTGAAGCATTTCATAAAAAGCTTCAACAAGTAATCTCTAGGAAATGATTTATTTTATTAATGTCAAAAATAATAAGAATAAAGGTGTAGCAATACTACTTTTAAGACTCCAATGTGATATATGATAATATTGATTTGATTTTTAATAATAACTAAAATAAAAAGATTCATATATAATAAGGTGGATCAGCTAAGATAATTATCAGTTAAATTTTTATATAATAACCCAATATCGATTGTATAAATAATTTATTGGTCTATTATTTTGACAAATTGGGTTAGCACATTTAAAAGTAATTGATTTTGAAATTGTAGCAATTTCCTTATATTATGTATTACCATGATTGTTTAGAATTGTCAATTCAAGCCAATGGATGAAATGTATGGCCAAATAGTGATGAGAATGAGAGAACAATTCCAGAAGCAACTATCCAGTGAAAGGGAACTGCGGGAAATGGATACTAGGCCATCACTTTCTCAGTCTGACAGCATCATAATCCCCAGTCATCAATCGGAAGAGAATACTCATCACATTCAATTAGACTATTCTTCTAACAATGATGTTTCTACCAATCAAGATCAGTCATTACCTATCAAAAATAATATATCAGAACACAACCAAAATTTTAACAATAAAATGGAAATTCGAAATGAAATGGATGTTAACGAAGATGTAACCCAGTCTCACAACAATATATGTTTGATGCCAGGGGAGGTAAAAATTAACATAATTTAACGATTTATCTGAAATATATGCCATAATAGTATTTGATATTCTTTTAATTTAATAGATCATATCTAAAGTCTTTATCGAGATTCATTATTTTTTTAACCACTTTATTTTATATATTTTTTTTGTATTAAATAAATTTTATGATTTACATTTTAAAATTTTAATTTAAAAAAATTTTCTTTCTTGGAAAATATCATAATTATGAGTTAAAAACATTTTTAATAGAATTATAAAGATGATAAAGAATTATTAATATTTTAAATCTATCTTTATATTTAATCTAAAACATTATTTCAATTTACTTGAGGATATAAAAGAGACAACATTTATTGGAATATAATAATTAGTCAAGAGAAATCTGATTATTAATCAAAAAATGTTAAGAAGAGAAAATACTTAATAGAAATTTGAAAAATAAAAGAAGAGAAAATACTTGATAGAAATGAAAAATAAAAATATAAGGAGAAAAATAATGATTAAAAAGGATAAAAAGACAAGAAATATTTAAGATGAAAAAAAGGGGAAAAAATGATTAGAAATGAAAAAATAGAGAATTGAGGGGAAAATATAGAAATTATTTTAAAAAAGACAGGAATATTCAAAATATTAAAAAATCTATTTGCAAAAACTAGGGGTGTACTGATATCACTTTTTGGAGGTCGATCTGATCCAAAATTCCCAATATGAAATGCCAATTACCGATACGATATCATATTTAATTTTGTATTCTGTAAAGATACCAATGGTTTTAATTTGTAATATACTTTTTTAGAATAACATCTATAATTTAATTATACCATAACTTATGTCATTTAAATATATTATAATGATTATTCTATTGCAATTTTAAAAGTATATAAAATATTTTTATTGTTAAATAACTTTTATATAGTAAGTAACAACATTAATCTAATATACATAATAAGAATAAACAAATATATTATGAAATTTGAATAAATATTTAAAATAATATTTAACATTAATATATAGAAGATTTTTTTTAGAAATACCAAAATTTTCAATTTATCAGAAATCAGCCTGCGGTGATGGTTACTGTCAATATCACCAGTTTCATTAAAACAGATTCTGAAGAGATTATGTGCATTCTCTAATGCGCAAAAAAATAACAATATGGCAGAATGTTTATTAATTAATTATTATTATTAAAAAAATATAGATTTCGATTTTATTTATAAAAATAAATGATTTTAGATATTTAAAAAATTTATAATATTTTATTTTTGTTAAAGACGCCATTTTATATCGGATCGGAAAATTTTATAATATTGACCGATAACCGATATTTTAAAATAGGTGAAATAAATATCTGCCCGATCCGATAAAAAATATCGGTACATCCCTAGCAAAAACCATTACAGTCTCACCATAAATCATCTTGGTTCAATAAAAATTTATTCCATTATTAAATAATGTAGATGGTTTAATTTTTTTCTATTAATATTTACTGTTCTTTTCAAAATTTTCTATTACATTTTAAAATAAATTTCCCATGTAATATAATATAATGCTCATTTTTTATCATTTGGCTTAAAATTTTCTGAATTTTGAAGAAGAATTCTACTCTACAAATAACTCGACCTTCATCTGTTCGTAGTTTTTGTACTGCGCTATATATATCCTTGTTTTATTTACCACTAAACCCCTCATTCACAGTTAGCGCTTATTTGCAGGAAAGAATGCAAAATACAGCATGTTTTGTATTTATCGCCTCGAATTCACGTTATCTGTGAATGCAAGGTATTCCATATTGGAGACAACATATTTAGAATACATGCACACGTTTTTCCTAATGCATAATATGTCAATATATAATTACTATTCACTTTACAATAGCAAAAATTTCCTTTTTAATCTGGAAAACCTGTAATATTTAATCAGTCATATTACAATTCTATTTCTTTAATTTTTATAATTATAGGAATCTAATGAAGAACTTACTAATTGCAAACAAACTGATCTTATTTCATCTACCGATCCAATATGCTCTAACATAGGTGATCAAAATGCCCAAATAACCAACAGTTATGACAATACAAACAGGTTTTATAATCATATATTTATATAAATTTTCATAGAAATAATTATAATAATAATGAATTTTAAATTAAATCACATAACTCTTGGAAAGAGGGAAATCCCCCCCCCCTCCCCCATCCCCTCATACCAAATTTGACTGTTCATGTAAATATCATTTTAACCCTTTCACATTCGACATTTTTTCGATGAACAAAAATTTTAAATTAGTTAAACAAAAACAAAAATAACACATTTTCAACGTAAAAAATATATAGAATTATTAAATGTTGCCATTTGTCATGCATGGGATATTCTGTAAAAAAGATATACAATTTATTTTGAATGGAATAAAACAATTGTGATTTTTATTTAAACAGAGATATTTTACATTTTATACATTCAACTCTTAAATAATCATTTGTGCAGTTCTTACATCTTTGTCTGTTAGCCGCTGATTGCCTGTTTTATCAAATCTAATATCTGTTATTGGGTGAAAACTATTCAATCTCCTCTTTTTTTTATCAATCTTCAAAGTATGTCTACCTTCTTTTCTATCATTTTCTTTTTCAACCATTATCAATACTTTTGCTATCTGACCTTTAAATACTAGAAGAGATATATGTTTACTAATATTCTGTTTCATATGGCGTCTTTAGAATAACCATGAGTTTACTATACGGGACTAATAAATGAAAGAACACTCCATATATAAACGCTTCCATTTTATGTCAATTTTCTAGAGTTCAATCAACATATACTGGAGATTCACCCCGTCCATAGCACCTTTATAGTCTTGAACTATGGCCAGAATTTCGACATTATAAAAAGGTTAATCGGATACCGACCATCTTCTTGTTCGTGATTTGGGATTTATACCCATAAATTATGATATGGTTATAACCGATTTGTTATCAAACCATTTGTAAATTATAATATTATTAGAATCAACCTTATAATCAAGGAACCCTAATCCATTTTTTTATGATTTTATTATGAACCATATAGCATCCTGATAATTGATTAGATCTAAGGATCCCGACATGATAAAGCCATTATCTTTGAGAGTAACTTCTAATTTATACGAAGGGAAAAAAAATTTCCACTTTTATATAGGGAACCAGTTTTTAATAGTCGAATAACAATATCTCTACTAATTCCCATCATAGTTTTTTTATATTTGTGTGTATTCTTAAATATGAAATAAAAATTTAAGGTCCTCATCCTTTGCAAAGTCAGCCTCAGAAATATCTCCCTCTGAGTTATAGATGTTGGGGTCATCCTAAAAATTTATGGAAAAAATCTGCATATAAATGTAGAAAAAATTTTATTGAAAAGAAATTTAAACTTTCTTAACTTTTTGCAAATATTATAGGAACTTGCTAAATGAAAATAACCAATAATACACAATGTTTTCTATATTATATTTTCAATATTTAATAAAAAAAACATTTAGGGGAATAATTGCATTAGAAAATCCCAATGTTACCTATTGGCATTTCCTTTAATATTAAATACTAGTAATAATATATAATAAAAACATTATATACCTTTGATTTATATATATATATCTATATAGAATGGTTATATATTAAAAGTGTAAAATACTGAATTTTGAACATTAAATATTGTTTTGTTAATTAATATATCTAAGTAGCAAACATTGACTTTTTAAATATAAAAATAAATTAATTAAAAATTTTGATGACAAATGATCTTGCTGGGCGTTAAAGTGTTAAGCTATAAATAGTTCTCCCATAATCCTCACCCCACCTCACTCTCCCTAAAAAATGTATACAAAAAGAAAGGATTTGAAAGAAAAATTATAACCTTAAATAACGGCTATAATTCAAAATTTTTAGAAAAAACATTTTAACAAAAAAAAGCGGAAACCCAAAATTATTTTTATAAAAATCTAATATAGCCAAAGGCTTACACTAAGTTCACTTTAAGATCTTCAACAAAATTTTTGTGGAAAAAATTCATCTAATAGTGGTCCCCTCTTAGAAAAATCCTGGATATGCCAGTGACTCCGAGGTACTTAGGGATATTATAATTTTGTAAATTTATGTATATTTTCTCAAATACAAATTTTTAAAACTAAAGGTAATACTTTAATATCATATTGGTTAGAATATGAATTAAAGAAATATTAGATAAATAAATTGTAGATTAATTTATGTAAAATTTTCTCATTTTTTAATTGTATAAAATAAATTATTAAAATGTTGTTTTTTTATAGAGGTGGGGGGGGGGGGTATCATAAATTTATTCGGAGGTGCTTCCTCAAGTATCCCTAATATGTATGCCTTGGTATTAAAATTTTTTAGCTTCATTAAAAATCACTTAATATTAGTGCTTGTGAACGTTATTTCTAAAAAGAAACGCCTTACTACTCGTTACCTTGTGAAAAATGGAACGTGTTACTTACTATTTTTAAAAAGTAACGTTACTTATTACTTAAAAATACTGTTTTATAAAAATTTTCTTTTTATTTATTTTTAGGGCTGCACTATTTTTTACTGGAATTTAATGTTGGGTCGATTTTTATAAACGTTATGATTAAGATTTTGAATAATATTATTTAAGTCTCAAGATTTGGCAAATAGGGATATAAACCTTTCTGCCATCTATAAGTAAAATCTTCATTTTACATAATATTATTTTGGCTAAAATCTTAATCGGGTCTTTTTTAAAGATCGACTCAAATCGGGCAGTTTAACAACACAATTGAAATATAAATGACCTGGTTATAAATGTGTATATTTCATAATTGACACAAGATTAAGAGATATTTTTAATACATAACCAAACCATCTTGGAATATTAATAATACTTGAAAATATGTTATCAAACAAAAATATCTTAAGGAGGGGTTGACAGCGACAAAAAAAATTAGGCTATATTTTGGATCGGCAAACCCGATTCTATTTTGAATTTTAAATCGCCCGATTTAAAATTCTTCCTTATAATAATTTTGTTTTGTAGCAACTTGTAATGTTATATCGATATTCCAAGATGTTTATGCATGTTACTAATCTTATGCCACTTCTGAAATATACACATTCAAAATTAGTTCATTTAAATATCGGTATAACACTATTTATTTTTAACAACCATTGATTTTCAAAATTTTGTCTGATGAATAACACATTCGCTGTGCTAAACACGATCAACTGGCACAGAGGATTGGAGGGTTGTTTAATTTAATAACATTTTTAAGTGGTGGAATTTATTAAAAATACTTAAAGAATTTTTTTTTTTAACTAATTTGAGAATTAGGGCCCTTAATTTTCTTTATTGGTGTAACTATATTTATGACAGTATTGGTTTTGGCCTGAAGCATAATTTTTAACAATTAATAAACTATCAGATTGTTATCTAATTAATATTAAATTAATTAAGATATATAATTTATATTCTCTAATATTATAATTTTTTTATTAATGGTATACATTTATTATCTAATTTGTTCTAATAAATTTAATATATTTAAAAATGTTTGAAAAATATATAATAATACTATTAAAAAAAAGAACGGAGATGGTGTGACGCAGGGAAACAAAAATGAAAAAGGGAAGTAAGCGTTGTCTATGATAGCTCTTTGGCTAGAAGGCTACCATAGAAACTGATATAATTAGCTTTGTGAATCGCTATGGATAATCGTTGACGAAGAAAAAAACCCTCTCGGGGTTCTTCTGAGAGTTTGCTGATTTGTGATCCTAATTTTTTGAAAAATGCTAAGGCGAGTTTGCCAAAGGTGCCAAGAGTGGTTGATATGATTGGGATGAAGCAATGATCGTTTATTATTTCTGTGTATTTAGAAATTTTAAGTTGTTCCTTCTGGTCAAGGATGTTGATGGCGTGGTTGGATGGGGCCAAGGGGTCAATACAGGAATAGTCCCATACCAAAAGTTGGCCTCTCCTCCATGGAATTTGAGAGATCCCATCAGGACGTTTACCGTCAGATCTAAAAAGACCCTAACGTGGAAGGAATTTGGGCGGATTTCAGAGCATGTTGGATGATTGTATTACATTGCTTGTGTCTGATGAATCGTCCATTGCAGGAGCGACAATGTAAACTATGTCTACCCTTCGAGTCAACTGGCGAGTTGCACCCAGAGCAGATGTGGGGGTGAGTGATGGAACAATTTAGACGAATGCCGATGGCATGGGTAAATTCATTGTTGGATAGTTGAAGCTGAAGATTGGTAGATGGGATGGCCTCAAGAAACTCATGTCCCGTACCATTGAGCAAGGAAGAGAATAGGGTGCGGTCGGTAGATTGCATGCTAGATAAGAGAGTTTCAACGCAGCGAGCAACCACTGGTGCATCCCAGTCTTTCTGTTTATGGGTTGTGGGGGGATGAGAATCAGCATTGATCCTTGTTTTCCAAATATCCATAGCCACGATTAAGGAAAGGTCTTCTTTAGAATTATGGGCGGAGGTTATTGGCTTTGTCAAGAGACTACTCGATATGAAAGTAGTTGTTGCTAAGTCAAGTGGAGATCTGATGCCGAGACCACCAAATTTGGTTGGAAGAGTTGCTTGGGCCCAAGCAGTTTCGTTGAATCTGATATTTACTATTTTTTCGGTTAAGTCCTTTATTCCTTTTTCGTAAGTTTGGAGAGGAATAGGATATTTAAAAATTGGTGTTGACCGAAGTGCGTAAAGAATCCTTGGTATAAAAAAGAAATTTTTTAGCAAAAAAAAGATTTTATAAAAAATGTCAATTATTTCTTCAGATAATTTAATTCTGCCCTGGCCCCAGTATGAAATATTAGTAAATAGGTCGATCGAGTCTTGGCTTCAGTTATGGGACGCATCAATGAGATTAAAAAACTGACCGACCGAGCCAGAGAACAAGGACCTGATAATGGTGAGTTAAGGTGCTGAGGCATTCGTTATTCCAACGTTGGATACTTACTAGTAAAGATTCAGAGGGGAAACCGATTAGAGCCATCGATTTAAAGGACGCATATCTTCAAATGACCGTGGAGCCAGAGGCCTAAGAATATTTGGTCTTCTCGACACATGAGGGATATTTTCGATACCTTGGACTTTCGTGCGCACCAAATATTTTCCAGCGTTTCATAGATAATATTTTGAAAAACTACTTGATGACTGGAGTATATCTGAACAATATAATTGTCTCCGGCAAAAATGATGCCGAATATCTGGCTAATCTAAAAATAGTATTCGGGAGGCTGGGTGAATTAGGTCACAAAGTCAAATTTGAAAAAGTTCAATTTTTACGGAATTCTATTTCATTTTTATGTCGTTATCAACTAGGGTGCATCCAAGTGAGCAAAAGGTAAAAGCAATCCAGGCCACGCCTAATCCAAAGAATGTTCATCAGTTACTTGGTTTTGTCATGTATCATGAATATCAGCAGAAGAAACTTTAATACCATACAATGCTCCTTTGATTTTGGAGTGTGATGCTTCAGATACAGGGCTTGGAGCAGTATTACTTCATCAAGTTTCCCAAAACGAGGAGAAACCCATCGCATTTATACCTCGGATGTTGTTACAGTCTGAAAAACAGTATGCTCCAATTGATATGAAAGCGAGGGCACTGCTGTTCGGAATGGAAAAATTCCATAATTTTATTTACGATCTAAGTTTTGTACTTCGGACAGACTTGAAACAGTTGTTAGGGAAAAAGAGGGATATTCCCAAGACATTAAACAATAGTCTTACTCGTTGGGCCTGGAAAATGGCTGCGTAAAATTTTAACAGAATACAAACCGGGTCATGTGAATCTTATAGCCTTATCTAGGTTATGTTCCGCAATATTATATTGAATTGAAATACAAAACACTTATTGGCGCTTCTTAATATCAATTTAGAAGATATGCAGGTTTCAGAATAAAACCTGCTCAGGAATTCGGTACAAGATCCGATACTAAAACGAGTGACACGACATATTGAACAAGGTTGGAGAGGTTTTGATTGGAAGGAAGAACAGGATCTAGTAATTTTTCATTCCCAGCGAGAAGAACTAACAGTAGACAGAGGAATAGGCGAACGGAATGGTAGATTGATAATTCCAACTAAACTTAGGAATGCAGTGGAGACACTACTTCGGGGAGGAATAAACGCGATGAAATCTATTTTTCGGTTGTATTGTTGGTCGCCTAAATGTAAAGAGGTAATCGAACGGTATATAAAGCTTTGTGTTAGATGTCAAAAAAATCGACCTAACGTAATGGAGTTACCCTTATACTCATCGAATATTACTAAAGAGCCATGGGAACGTATACATTGAAATTTTGTAGGACCGGTTGACTCTCTATATTAATTTATTAATTAGTGTGATTAGATTTATGTTCAAATTTGGCAAAGGTAGACCTGATGAGAAGCACATCAACGTAGGAGATAATAACGAGATTAACAAAGTGGTTTGCTACCTTTGGGTAACTGAAAATGGACCTCAATTTATTTCTACAAAATTTAAGCTATATTGTGGAAAAAACAATCTGCCACATTCGTTCAACACCACATCCGAAGACAAATGGGCAGGGGGAACGCGGACCTTGAAAGGAAGGTATTATGAAATCAATTAATGACCCGCAAGAAGCAATGACTTAAACGGTAGCAGCGTATAGCCTGGGAGAACATAGTTCGACGGGTAGGTCTCGCCAGCGATGATTATGTTCGGCAGTCAGATAAGAAATAGTTTAGATTGGGCTGGACCAAAGGTGGAAAATGAGATAAATAAATCTAATGATAAACAAAGTCGAGAATATGATACATATTCCAGTGTTAGGGAATTTGACGTTGGTCAACATGTATGGATAAGGAAACTCCATTAAGGGTTTGGGAAAAGGAATAGTTTTAGATAAGAAGGGATTATATTTAGTAATATAGATGCCAGATCGCTACTGCACAAACACAGTTAAAGGGCCATGTGTTAACAGATACTACTGAACGGGTGTTGGTAGGCAGCGACCAGAAGGAGTGGGATGAGACCCCAAGACGTGGGTGGACACACAAGCCACCAAAACGAATTTGAAAAGATGTAGACGTTCTTCTCAATTAATAAAGTGGAAATGTAGTAATGTAGAAATATATTGTAATATACTATTTATTAATTATGAATCATTATATTCGTCACTTAGATGTGGTTGTAATGATTAGATATATATATTTATGATTAAAATATGGATGAGGTTAACTACCATCAGATTTAATTATAATTTCCTCAGTTGATTCCATATGATTAACAACCTTGTGAATATATATATTAAAGAATGAATAAACCTGTGCCTGTATAGTTTAGTTACCTTTTGAAACTAGTAACGAATAGCATTCCTTTTCCTCAAAAAGTAACTACATTACTTTCATCTTTGTTACTTTACAGCACTATTTAATATTAAATATAATATATAAAAAATATTAAAATATTCTTTTCTACGATTTATATGCTAGTTGTTCAGGTAATGAAGAGACAAATGATGGAAATGGAGATAGTATAGGAACAAATTACTTTGAAACTCATACAAATTTTACCAATTTTACTGAGGACATTAATAGCACAACGCATAGGAGTGTAGAACATGTTGAGGTCTCAAGCAATGAAACTTACTCTGGTGTTGTTAACAGTCCTAGAGGTTAATATATGACTATGTAATTTGAATGAATGCCATTATAAAGATAAAAAATAACTTATTCATTGTATATAGTAAACCCGATTAACGTTTAAAATTTATGCTTCCATGAGAAAGTTTGAACTGGATTTTTACTATATTTTTTGCTAAAGTTTTTTCTAATATTTTTTCTTTTGCATATTTCATTCTATCAGATAACGAAAACGAGAAAGAGGTATGTGATAGTAGTAGTTCTACTAATGTTGGTATAAACATCGGGCAATGTTCTGGATCATACAACACCTATAATACTTATGCACAAGATTCTTCAACTTTAACAGAAGACATAGTCGATTCAACTTCATATGTTAATGTTATGAGTCATGATCCGAGTTCCCATAATATGTCATACATGGCTAACACTTCGCTCGAAAGTGAAGAGAACCATCAATCTCCTTCAACTACGGATAATTTATAGACTTATTTTTACATTTAAATATAACATATTTTTATATTGTTATGTTTATTTTAATTTAAATATAACCTATTATTATATTGTTATGTTTATTTTAATTTAAATTATTTTATATATCATTTTTTATGTGAAAATAATAGAAAACTGATTTTTGTATTTTATGTAAAATTTAATAAATTTACTTGATAAATATTTTTAATTGTTTTTTTAAGATAAAATTTTAATTTTTATAATGATTTATTTTTTGACTATCGGGTTCAAAAATCGCGAATGTGGCATCGTAATATAAAAAACAAAAAAACGGTTTTTTCAGATATAAAAAAGACCAAAAAACAAATCAAAATAACATGTTATTTTAGAAATTTTGAAACACTTAAAAATTAAATTTATAAAATGAATTTTCTTATCAAAAATAAGCTCATCGATTGCTGCACTACGTTTGCGTTCTCGCTCTGTTTCACAGAGAAAAAAACTCGTTGGCATATAGCCTAACAGGACAATTGTTATTATTAGAGCTAAGAATTATTGAATAAAAATATTAAATAAGCTAGCGATAATAAAAATAATAGGTATTTTGTTTATGCTAAAATACATAGTCTATATTTCATTTTATGCCTCAATTAGAATAATTAATTGCTCTCTGTGTAACAGATTGAAAAAACTATTGAAAATATTGAGAATAAATTGATTTAGTGATGTAAATTATTTTATTTATAAGAATGTGTTTATTACACTGAAAAAGAGTTTATGATCACTCATCAGACAAATAAAAAATTGTGGGGTCTGATTTAAACTACTCTCTACTACGCATTTGTTTTGGATATCTGTTGCATTCTAAAGAAATGAAAAGGGGCATAGATTTTTTATCATATTTTTATAGATTTAAAACCCCTTTAATATTGTTAATAGATATATAATTAATGTTGAAAATGAATATTACGAGTTATAATTAAAAAAATAAATAAAAGCTAATGATTTAATTTAAATATAATCGAAATGTTTAAATTTATTGGAAAAAATATTGTTTTATTGTGATTTGTTGTATTAAAAATAATACGATTTTAATAACTTTTTTAAGTAAATAATTATCTTTACATTTTATATAATGGAGGTGGGCCAAAGCTAAAAAAAATAAAGTTTCAAATAATGGGGGAAGGGCCTAGACAACAAGATGCCTTTTAATGTTCTTATAAATGTCGTTATTTCTTTTCAGTGTCTATATTGTTAATCCTTTCATATTTACTATTTAAGAGATTTATTCTAAGTAGATAAATATGGAAATGGCAATAAATAAAATGAAAATAAAATAAAAGCAATGAATGAAATTATTTATTATCTTTAAATATTATGTAAAATCTGTCAAATAAAATTGAATTATGATGTGGACCTTAGAGAACTGCAAAGTAATTTTTTCGCAACCCGAGCCCGAATTTAAAAATTTTTTTCGTCCGAGCCCGAGCACACATTTTTTAGTCCAACCCGACCCGAGCCCGACCCGAATAAAATTTTGCAATTTAAGTTTTAATATTATAATAACCAAAAAAAAAATTATGTGTATTTATTCAGTTCAGCCACCTTAAATAAAAGTTTATTTGACGGCCATAATCATTAAGTTGCATTTTATTAAATTTGTAAAAAATATTATAAAACGATTAATATACAAGCGAATTTAAAAATTATAACGATTATATAATACAATAAGCATCATTTATGCGAATATAAATATGATATAAAAGTTAATAAATATATAAAAAATTTAATGAACATATATTATATTGACCTCATCAATATTATTATCAAAATTATCACAAAGTGAATTTATGATATATAAATAAAGAGGCGTCCAGTTTATCTGACTTTAAACGAGTCCTTCTCTCCTCAAAGGCCCTACCAGCAGCTGAAAACGCCCTTTCACTGCTAGCCGACGAAGCAGGGATAGCCAGGAATTTAAGAGTTAAAATATCTAACCTGTTGTTATTGAATTATATACATAAATAAATTTGCATATTATACAAATGACATAATTAAGCTTTTCTTTATTTTCATCATATTATAAATGAAAATTTCTTCCATACATCGGATTTTCCATTAAGATTCTCCCTTACTTCATACTCTTTTGTCTTAATCTTTTCACCAATTCTTTTTAATTTTGCATCCATTGAGATAATTTTTTTAATATGGCTGTGTCTAAAATCTAAAAAAAATATTTAAAATGACTTTAATCAATTAGATTGAAATAAACAGAGTTGGGCAGTACTGCGAATACTTGTATCTAAGATACATGATACAATATCCCTTTATATCTTGTACTCAGTATATTTTGACATTTTTAATAAGATACTAATATCTGTATCTAAGATCCTTAATTCTGAAAAGAATCTTGTATCTTTTTCATTTTTTTTTGAAAAAAGATACAGATACAGATTCTTTTTAATATTCATGTTTTAAATTTTACATATCACAGTATACATCTTATTTTCTTTGAGAATCTTGTATTAATTTCCTAATTTTTTTCTGCCATATTTAAAATATTGACAACCAAAATTAGCTGGAAAATTTACAACTCATATTAAGGTAGATAGATAAAAAATAATAATACCAAAACGAAATAAGTTAAGATTATATTTTATATATAAATGTAACTTAGAATATCATTACCAATTTTTTTTAATTTCTAGCATGATTAACATTTATGGTAGTGAAATGTAAATTATAGAAATAAGTTCCCCTGAATCAAATCCCAATCTTAAATTTTATATGGAAATTTTTTAAAACAAATGTTAAAAAAGACAATGTATAGGCTAGATAAATAATAAATAATGAATAAAACTTATCTTTAGTACATAAAATATGTCTTATCTTGTAATTCACGGAAAACACACAATTTAGTGATAAAATAGTTTGGTATCCGGTTGTTAGGTTTATAAAATAATAATTAATAATGACATGACATGACATGTTAATAAGATTGACATTTTAATCCTAAAATGTGATTAATATTAAATAATATGATTTTATAATTAATATTATAAATTATACTTACTATTTAAGATATTAATATTATTATTTATTTTTGGGTCGGGTCGGGCTACGGACAGCCCTTGCAGTTCTCTAGTGGACCTTCTAAAAATATTAACTAAATTATATCAAAATTTTAGTCCTGACCCGGGGTTAAAAGAAATATATATCAAGGCTGGCTCGAATAACTTTTTCTGGAAATTCTCCTTAGGCTCATACTTTTTATTTTTCATCATTTTAAGAGTCAGTCCGAAATTTTTAAATCTAATTTAAATACTTTTGGCTGTATTTTGTTGACTGTTTCATAGAAATTTGATAATAAAAGCAGTGAATAAATAAAACGCTCCATTATATGATTTACTCTTTAATCGAGTTCGGCCGGTTTTGTAAAATAAAATTATAAAAATCTAAACATAATTCATGAAAGCCTTTTATATTTTTTCAAAATTAATTTATAATCTGCATTTTACTATTATCACATGTATTATTTATTATGGGCCAACAAGCAAATTCAAAATTACCGGTGTGGATAGTTAAAAGACAAAGGAATTATCCAAGATAGTCTTTAGTCTGAAACAAACTTATTTTGAATATTAAATATAAAAATATTATTTTTAAAAAAGGAACTTTGCGCTATTTTTTTAGTGAAAATTTTGTTATATGTGTAGGTTTAAATAATATATGAGTTATATAATAATACTATTTGACGGTTGAGAACTATCTAAAATGACAAATGGTTTTCTGTTTTATAATATTTGCGAAAATAAGGTATAATTTCTTACATTTTTTTAAACACTGATGGATATAAGAAAATTTTGTCAACCAAAAAGACTTAAAAGTAGTATAATTTAATATAAAAAATAATATAACCCTCAATAATAGTTATAAAAAATATGATAACTTAATATAATCTGAGGCATCGTTAATAATTGCAAAAACTATTGAACAAAATGAAGTATGAGTTTAAGCGTTTTATTTAAAAAACAAGTCCAACTGCAATGTATGTACAATGTGCATCTCATTCAGTTAACTTAGCCATTTCTTATTCTCTGCCGTGTATAAGAAATTGATTATGTATAATTCTATTTAATTTATTTCTACTAATAACTATGGTTATGCAAAATTTCTAGAGTATATATTCAGATATCCAAATAGACAAAATATGCCTAATAGAATTATCGCTGAGACTTCTTGTACTACAAGAAGAAAGAAACTGCAAAAGGCATGCCCGACCGGATGGAGCCTACGACATAAAGAGGCTACCTCAGTTTTGAATCTAGAAGAGCCTTTTTTGAGTGCCCTTGGAGAAGTTTCGGAATGGTGTGAATTAAATATTTAATCTGAAACATACTTTATTGTCAATAATATAACCGATTTTCTTTTTGTACTGGAATGTGTAAATAAATTATTTAATTAGATAACAATTTTGTAGAATATTTTTCAATAAAATAATATAGATTTATCGGAGACTATGATAATAGCCAATATAATTATATTGCAACTACAAAAACGTGAAATATATGAATTTCGTGAAATTTTTTTGATTTGTTAGAAAGCCAAATTCTATGATTTTGAGATTCTCAAGATACGACTTGCACCAAGAAAAACGAATCGTTGCAGTATAAATGTGGAATCAATTAAGGATTATTATAAAATAACAGTTTTTATTCTACTTTTGGACACATTCTTGACTCAAATTCATGAAAGATTTGTGGTTCACCAAATGCCGCTATCTAATTCATATATTTTATTGCCTATAAATCCTTCAGAGGAAATATTAAATTTTGACCTCTAAAAAATTAAATATTTGGCTGAATTTTATTCAGAGGATATTAATATATCTGAAGGCCAATTGGTAACTCACTGAAACGGGAAAATTTTTAATATGATTTTTTTTTTGTTTTTTTTTTATTTTTTTTTTTAATATGATTTTTTATTTATTTTTTTTAATATATTTTTTTATTTATTATTTTTAAATATTCTTTTTATATTTATTTATTTTATAAAAAATAATAAATATAAGATCGTTTGGATATTTTTTTGGGATGATGCTTACTACCAAGTGAATGTATGAAAATATTCTATACCAACTTAATATGCTAAATACCGACCAAAATTTATTAAAATGTAATAAGACCCTTATTATTAAATATATTATAACAGAATCACGTGGTCGTCCGGCCTCCTATATATCATCCCCCAAGGATGGAACCACCAAGTTAGATTAAGAAAAAAAAACATAACCATTCCCGGGATTCGAACCCGTGACCATGAGATCAGTAAACGAAGCTATTGCCTACTAGGCCATAGAGGCTTTCTAAAATTCGTGATTTTTCAAATATATATTATAAATATATTTGGTAGTGCCTATCCAAATGAAAAATAAACAAAATTTGATAGGTAGTACCTTAAGGTAGTAAGCATCATTAACCTTTTTTATTTGTAAAAATTTTTACTATTAAATCAAATACTAGATAATTAATCAATTTATTTGAATAAACAATATATATATACAATGATAATATAGATATATATTTTAAAAAAAACAATAATAGTTCTATATAAATTTATATCATTTAAAAATTTAATTTATTTATTTATATTAGACATATTTTTAATATTACGAAAATAGGAATATTCACATATATATATAAATGAGAGGAAGATTTTCTTCCATTTCTGGGGATGCTTGCCTTATCCCTCCATAAACGCTCAATACGATGAGTGTGGGTTGATATATCATTAGGGTCTATGTTTTTGCTATGATTGACAGAGTAATGATCATATCCATTTTCATTTAGATTGTTTTAACTTTGAAAAATATTTAATTTTAAGACTTATCAATATTTAATTTACCCCTTCAATTAAAAAATTTCTACCAAAATCCAGACGATCATGTATTTATTATTTTTTAATAAAAAAATAACCTAAAATTACGCCAATTTAACCAAAAAATATTTTTTTAGTTTTTTCTAAATATATTAAAACTACTATATATTTTAGCAACATTACCAACAATAAAAAAAACTTTACGTCATTTAAGAAAAACCTATCTTAGAAGTGCTACATCAGACAATAGGTTAAATGGTTTAACCTTACTTAATATTCATCGAGAATTAATCTCAAGCACAGAACAAATTACTCTAAAATTGGCCCAAATAAGAAGGCGATTTTCTATGAATTATATTTTATTTAAAATTTTAAATAATCATATTTTAATCCAAAATTTATTGTTATTTACATACCTTTATTTAAATTTAGCTATAAATTTTTTTAACATTTTTTTTTTATATTTAGTTTTTCCCAATATTTCTTTATGTCTGAATTTGATTTTACAAAATAGGATTGGTTATAATAAATTTTATATGTTGATTAGTTTGTTTTAATTAAAAAAAAAATCAATATAAAAAAAATTATTCGCCCTCCCCATAAAAAATTCTGGCTATGCGCCTGGTTTGTTTGTTAGGATATAGTGTGATGTATAATCAATGACATATATAATACCTAGACTGACGATCCATTCATTAAAAGTGTACATCAATGCAAATCAGCGTTACACTAATCATTATTAAAATTTTAAACGAGAGCCTAATTTATTCCTATATCTGGTGCAAACTTTATTAAAGAATTACCGGATCATCGAGATAATAAGAAAGTAAGTTATCAATTTAATAGTAGTTTTTAACATGAGAATAATTACTATATGTGTTATCTAAATGACGGGTCCGGCTGATTTGCTTTTAACGACGCTTAAAAATGCATTTTAATGAATGAATCGTCAGTCTAGTTATTATATATGTCATTGATATTAATAAACAAAAGTAAAATGTTTGTGGATATGTAATGTATTGTAAATTGAGTAATAAGCTAATTTAAAAGATAAAGGTGAAATAAGGATTAGTTGTTTGTTATCTTTGATGTGTAAAAATATTTTGTTAGTGGCAATTTAAATTAGGGAATAATTTTTTCTATACTACATATTGTCATTCGTGACCTTAGACAAGCTCATGGGTTTTAATGTTCTTATTAAATATAGTTGGATTTTTTTATTCATATAATCCCAGCTTGAAATTGGCTAATACACAACCCTCCAAATCCTTCCCCAGGTCTTTATATTAGAGATATAATGGGCGGATTTCAGCCCGCCCATACTTGAAGGGTTTGGGCTTTATCGGGTTTTCTAAAATATTCTTAACATTGAACGGGTTACGGGCTGGTTAAAAAATATTTTTAAAATAATAGGCAGGTGTTTTTAATATTTTTCAGGCAAAATGAGCAGAACAGACTCAATTTTATAAAATAAAAGTTTTATTTCATAATATTGCATATTATATATATTTAATTATAAATGTTTTAAAAAAAATAAAGGGCCAAACCAGTCAATGAAATAATTTTTAAACTGAGGCAGGCTGGTTAAACAAAATTTATAAATAAATAGGCAAGCTGCTAAATTAGAAAAATAATAATTATAAGTGAGCCGGCTAAAAACTTTCAAACCCGCCCATTGCAGACCTCCATTTCACATTTAATTAAATTAATCTCAAGATATTAAATTACCATAAATATTGTCAAAAATTTTATACTTATAAAATTGTGAATACTTTTCATTTAGAATTGATATTTAGTCTGAGCAACTTTAATAAAAAAATTTATTAATAAAAATGTAAAAAATTATAGAGTTACTTTTGACATGATAAAATTTCCATTTAAAGCTTTTCATGAGCATATTTCTGTGAGACATTTTTAGGACATTGAGCATCTTATTAAAATACATCTGTGATTTAAATTTCAAATATCAAAGTTTATTAGTTTCAAAATTATTTAAGAAGAAATTACTTGCCGAGGAATAACACTTTCCCCGATCTCCCATACTCTTACAAGACAAACAAAACTCACGCCGACAAGACTAAATCACTTAAGAAGAAATTCAAATAGCTCAATGCGACTCGTTGGATATTTTGAAATCCCTTTCTTTTTGTAGATATAATAATAAAAAGAAAATTTTTTTAGGACTGAAATAAGTGCGTGACATAATTTTTCAACTTAATAACCAAATATATATAATTAGTCCATGTTTTAACGCCTCCATTGAACATTTGCATCTTTTTTAGTGTTGAAGAGCAAATATTTATGTCAGAACTGCAACAGCGAATTTGTGGTACCTGATACACTGATCTGGTTGCTAGTGTAATTGTTTTTTGCTTGTTGATGTTTTCCCTATACTTTTTCTTCCCATAGGTTTTTGTTTATTATTTCCTAATTTTGTATTCTTACTATTTTTGGTATCTGTCGATATCGTTTTAGTATTATTAAAAATGGTAGCACATCTTTGTTTTAAATATATAATGGATTTTCAAAAAAAAATTTTATCGAAAAAAAATTATTTTAATATTCTTTCTAAAATTTGGCATGGACAGACAAGAGCAAAAGTGTGTTAAGCACGGAGGACGCAATAGCCTTTTATTTGTAGTTTTCGATAAAAATATTACAAGTTTTCCTCTATTTTATTTTTATTACAATAATACAATTTGTGAGCTGTAAATGAGCTTTCTTTGATAAATTTAATGTCGCATGTCTTACAGTAAGTACTCGCATCTTGATGGGAAAAGTCATGCCGAGTTGTTTGAGATGGATCAAACTTTGATTTATGAGAGTTGTCGATGTCCTCTTAATTATATGAAAAATTGATATTATAAATTTTATAAGGTCAAGATAATCTGATACAATCATTTATCAAATGTTAAAATTAAAAATAAGATAACTCTTCAAATAACGTTTGAAATTTATAATCATTGAACATTTACTCGATCTTTAAAGATTGACTTGTCAGTAATAAGGTGAGGTTTATCAACACTTTAAAGATTTTAACGGTATGTATTAATTTGTAGATATTTTGCCTGTTTTTTTAATACCTTCCTATTTTATGCCAAATTATATTTCTGCAAATATATTATTTTTATTCAAGAGTTTTTTAAGATATAACGTTTTTCAAAAATAATTAAATAAATTTTATGATTTTTATTTATAAATATTATTGCTACTTTGCTTTGTTTATTTTTGACTTCTTTATAAAAACTCAAAGTTTAAAATGCTCTTCGGAATAAAAAAATCTTAGATATTTTCTAATCAAGATTTTTTAAATTCAGATTTTTTTGAGAATACTCAGTCAGAACTTTTAATCAAATTTATCTAAAATTCAAAATCTTTTTTTGTGAAAAATCTTTTATAAGTAAATCTTTTCTGATTTATGCATATAAAATCTTTTATTATGAAATCAGAAATTTTCTTAAAAAATATTTTGATCTTCTATAAAAAATAAATCTTCAATTTTTTAACCTATAAGAGTTCTTTTCAAACTTAAAAAACTTTTTTAAAATTTCATTTATCAATCTTCAAAATTATTATTTGAATGATTAATATAGTGTTAGCTTAATAGTATGTTTAAAATATCCACAAATAATATAGATATATGAGTGAGATTTTCTGTTTAAAAAAGGAAATTTGATAAACCCCATCTTACTATTTATAGATATGACATTTGGGCACTGAAGGTTTAAGAGCAAAAATATCTCTATAAACCCTAAATAAATACATATTAAAAATTATAAGGTGTCTAATCTAGGTAAGGCCAACTAAGATCTTAGTTTTTAAATCGCATTTGAAAACAAAATGGAATCTAGTTATTTTATCTCCCAAAATCGGTCTGGACGGTCTAAACCAGTCAGCTTGGTCATCACTAATTACATCAATGGATTATATAATATATACCATTAGAATCCCGAGACCTGAATTTTAATTTGGGTTTCGTTACATTCATCTGGGAGATAGAGGAGTTAAGATAAGAACAATTTAATAATTGAGCTATTTTATTCTTCTGTAATAGTACATTTGGTTCTTTTTTGCAATAATATTTAGCATGCGCATTCAAATTTGCTTTCACTTTAAATGTAAGAAAACATCTTAGGCATCTATAGAGGTTTATCTTTTTTTCCTGATGTAAAACTTGGGTTTTAATAGTTGATTCCTTTGGCTTTTGAACCAACCACGGTATGTTATCGTTTTGCATATTAAGTTTTTTTGATTTTAAAAAATTATCCTCCAAATTTAGGTAATCTTGAAGTGACCATAGTTTATGAGGGTGATAATATTGATATAAATAATTCGAGCTGCAATTTTGATATAAAGGAGCGAATGTTGATATAGGATAAGAAGATATCGTTGATGGCCTTAGATATTTGAAATGAGGAATATGTAGAGTATGGGTAAAGAAGGGGTTTAAGTTAATAATATTTGATATTGGCTGGGCAAATTTACGTTTAATGAATTTGAAAGGTTCGTTTCCATCTTTTAAATTGGAAAAGGAATCGATACTTTTGACTTCGTACGAGTCATTTAAAGAGGATTCAATATTAGCCTGATAACTTTTTGAAACCACATTATCTGTTCGAAGTTCGGGACTTAATTTCTTTTTATTTATATCTGAAAATGAAGAAATGTTTTTAATATTTATCAGTGACCTGCAGATATCTCAATTTCAGGCCAGGCCCGCATTTGAAAAACAAATTATTTTCAAGCTCGGCGCAGGATTTTATTAAAAAAGTTGTTGCCCGCCCGGTTTTTTTTATTATTGATTATTTTTTGGACCCGGCCTGAAATTTTTAAATTTTTGTAATTTAAATATTTTTGCAAATTGCATCAACCGAAAATTAAAAATATGATAGTAAATGAATATTAAACGCTTCATTATACGATTTTTTAACTGATTAATTTATATAATTTAGTTGTTTTTTTAAATCGGCCCAGCCCGTATTTTCAATTATTAGGCCTAGCTAGGATTGTTAAGATCATACTATTTTTACCGGGTTACAGGCAGGGTTCCGGACCGAACTTGCAGGCCTCCAATATATATAGCAAATATAAATATATAACAAATCATTTTAATCGATAGGTGGACTCAAAGTTCAAACCTAACCTTATTATCAATCCACAGCGGCTTCTACATCCTCCCCAACACCTCCTCGATTTTTTTGGTTAATAATATTTACCGCCAATTAGATTACCGAATTAACCGATATTTACAATTTTTGATTTGATAGGCACTGCCAGATATATTTTTTTATTTTCAATAATACCTACTTAATTTTTAATTTAAATTAACGAAATCATGTGGTCAAGTCAGATCTAAAGATCTAATATATCTCCCCCCCCCAAGGGCGACTACCAAGTTGACTTCAAAAAAAAATATGATCCTTACTGAAAACCCTCCCTTTGTCTTTTTAATGTAATAATTAGTTAAATATAAACAAAATACAATAAATAAAATTACAGGTTTATCTTATAAATGAGTATAGATTTGTAAAAACACAACAATTATTATAGGTTGAATTAAGAAATATATTTAACTAATTAATATTTCTCTACCCTAATAGTTCTGTTCACCAATTAAATTTTTCTCCTCAAACTTTATAAAATCTACACTTTTCAAATGAACTAAAAGAATTCTTTCTTAGGAAAAAATGCAAATAAAAACTTTTAAATACAATTATGGCTTGGGAACCCTTCTAAAAAGTAGTTGATTCCAATTTTTAAAGTATAACATAGAAATAAAAGCAAGGTTGTGTATTTGACCGGTCAAAATTAAATAAATGTTTTTTAAGACAATATTAACTTTATTTTATATATAATAGTAAAAAATGAATATATTTAATATTAAATTATATTTCTAAATTCCCCAAACCGACCGATTTCTTTCTAAAAATGAAATATAATTTGGAATTGTTAGTAAGATATTAGACTCTTCTCTTAATTTTCAAGGTGGGCAAAGCCCATTTCAACAACTTAAAGCCGAAATCCGATTATTTTTTTTATGAAATTTACTGCTTTCCACATATTTTGGCTATTAAGTATACCATCGCTTTTACTACTGAAATTTATGAAATCACTTAAAATATTTTGATTATCATCACATTGTAAATTGTCTAATTGTTGTATTATACCACATGCTTCATCAAGCTCAATACTAGTAAGATGCTCCACTTATGGGAATTCAATAAATAATCAGCAGTGTGAGCATATGTATTTGGATCGTTCTTTCTTTTTCAAACGTATCATTTGTATATTTTCTTCTATAAAAGCATGGCATGATTGAATTATGTGTCCAAATTAGGCATCTCGTTTTTTAAGTGGGCTAATTTATCCCTTTGCAATTTCAACAATAAGATAGCTAAATGTTAAAGTATAGTTTAAAATTTTCATCCAAATATTTCTTCATCTAATGTATTATATTGGTATTTTCTTTCGGAAAAATATCCAATTTCTTCAGCAGCTGCTTTCAAAGCTTTTTGTGATGCCCATCTTCTTTAGATAATTGTATATAATGCAATATAAATTGGCAGTTAGTAATTTTCTCAAATCATGCTTTAGCAAATTATATATTGAAATCCAATCAACTTAATAATAAGAAAAATTCTTTTATTTCTTAAATGAAATTCTAATATTTTAATATGAAAATCCTATATTTTAATATTAAATTATAATTAAATCGATGCCTTGATGATATAAATATATTTTAAAATATGCAACATATTAGATTGATAAACAGGCTTTAAATACATATTAGTTAATTAAATCAACATATTTATTCATCAATAATAATTTAGAGTATTTGACCAGGTCAGTTTGACCGGACAATTGACCGACTTGACAACCCTGAATAAAAATATGGAGACTGGGGTTAGTCGAATCGATTTTTACAAAATTGGCTATAGCTCCTAGTTTTTTTAGATAATAATAAATAATATATGATTAGATACCTAAAACTATACTCTATAAAGGTGCCTTATAAAAAATTTTAAGAATTTAATCATTTTTTTTTATTTTTTGTAAAAGTGAAAATTTAGTCCAACAAGCCCTAATAGCTGGGTAAGACAAACCACTTCAAGGGGCTTATTTAACCATTAGATTTTTGAGTAATAAATTGAAAGCATTTTTATTTATTAATAATGATACATATGGAATAATTTTATTGTTTTTTTATTCAAAATATCATAATACTTATAAATTGAAACTAATTATATATAAAAATTGAAACTTAATATTGGTTAATTTAATAAACATTATGAACATAAAAAAATAAGGATCTTAAGGAGAGATTATGATTTCTTAGCATAAATCCTAAATACCAATCATAAAACAGCCATAAAATTGCCTTTTTAAGATTTTAAAATTTTTTTCATTATTAAATGGCATAATTGACGTGTATGGTTTAGCAAGCCCCGTTAGCTCTGAATTGACAAATTATGATTGAAATAATATCTAGATATAATAAATACTCATGAAACTTTCCCAAATTATAAAAGAGTGTTTAAACTTTGCTTTAAAATTTAATTTACATATGAATGATTATATATTTTAAAAATTAAAATTCTGTCATGTAAAAATCATTTGAAAATTTCATCAAAATTTTATTAAATAAAATTTTTAATAATTAAATATTTCAAAAGATTTTTAATAATTAAATATTTCAAAAGATTTTTTGTCTATAACTAATAAAAACTCTATTAGGATAAAATTTTAATTTTCTGGTGCATTTAATTTTAAAATGAGATTAAGTGGTTTGCCAAGCCGGGGTTTACCTAACCCCAGTCTCCCCTAATATATTGTAGCAATTAAGTTTATCAAAAATTACTCTTCTCAGGACTAAAGAATCAATAGTCTAATTTGTTTTTATCCCCATGAGTATTTTACTGAAGTGATCCTGCATATTACCCCTTAATCCTCTGAAAATTTTGCTAACGATTCTGCGTTACCCGCCTTAGTAGGCTGTACCCTTACGATTTGCGAATTATATGTTTAAAAAAAATACAAACTGTTTAACCGTGGACATTGTTAAAGAAACCTTTTCTATTTTATTTTTTTAATGTATTTTTAAAGATGTATTAATATTTACTTTTATTGCAATAATGCTTTTGATGGCACATTAAATTTCCTAAATGGCGGAATTGGATGCGGCAATCACTACAAATAAAATCTTTATAAAAAAAACATTAAAAGAATTGACATTAGATGCAAATTTTGTTTGTATATTATATAGTTATTAAATGCATAAGTTTCTTATATTGTAAAAAGGAAAATTGAATTCATTTACTTACTAGATAATTTTTGAATATTTTCTTCATTTATGACTTTATTTTTATATGTAGTAATATTTCTAACATTTTTATTATCTCTACCATAAGAAAATATTTTATTCCACTTCTTACTATAGACTAGATTTAAGTAATATTTGTATCGTTTCGTAATCTTGGCATGCCTAAATTTTGAATATTTTCTGACAATTTTTGTGACAAGATGTTTAACCATCTTATTGAATGTAATATATTAGGAATTTCTAAAAATAATTATAATATATAATTTTATTTAGTATAAAGTAAGATAGTAAATTCAATTAATAATAGTTTGCATAAAATTTAAAAATTATTCAAAAAAAAATCTCAAAGTTATTCATTTTTTAGAGAATAGAAGATTTGACGTTAAAATAAATATATTATGATTATGAATAATCTTTTTTTTATTTTTTATTTTATTATCTAATCTTTCACATAAATTTTTTTATTTTTTTATCATTTAAATTTTTTTTCTCTAGTAAACATTTAACATTATACATAATATATCTGATAAATAAAACGAAATGAAATAGTAGTTACTATTATCCACTAGATATGTTGAAATTGATAAGATAAACTGTTAAGATTAAAATCAAAATACAGAAAAAATTAAAATATTATCCATTTTTTCTAATCTTGTGTTATCTTTTTAAAATAAATATAAAGTTTAATAAAAATTTGAAGCCTATCAAACAAAAAAAATAAATATAGTTTATAAATTACAACAAATAATTGATAGATTTTTTTGTTAAATTATAAACTTTACATATGAAGGTATGCTAATTAGTTTTAGATCTAGGTCATAAAGTTTTCTAACCTACCTAGACCGTAAATTGTACAATGGTACTAACCTATTGGTTGTGGTTCGATATTATTTATCCTAATTTCTAATACAGTCTAGGTTTCCCTCAATAAAAGAAATAACTACTCTATCTCACAATAATCCTTTTTATCCTAGAGTATTTCCTTTTAATTTTATAATTGGATGAGGATGAGTCCTGTAAATTTTTAGGCGCAAAGGCATGGTTGCTCTAGTTCAGATTATATGGCTAAAATAAGTTTCTTTATAATTTATAGTAAACTAGAAACCCATTTTAAAATTCCCAATAATCCATTCCGAAATTGGTATAACAGAAGTGCAAGTAATTTATATACATTGTTTCAAAAATTGTTATGATTCATTTTAGAGAGTTTATTTATTGTTTACATTTATCAATTTTTTGTTAAAATATTGTTTGAACAGAGCTAAAACCGGAACCAGAACGTGAAACCATTGAAACGGCGTCAAATTTAAGAAACAAAGCCCAGATCCAGCTTTAAAAAAAAAATCAGAATCATTTTTTAAAAATATTCAAATCTAGAACCAGAAGTCTTTTTAGTTCCGGTTCCAAACTTACTCCTCATTCATAGTTAGCGCATTCGCAGCGAATTATATAATTGAATACTTCGCCACTAATTCGCGCTAACTGTGAATGCAGGGTCAGGTGAAATATAATTTCCAATTAATTCATCAATAAATATGACCCATAATATTCCTCACTTACAAAAAATATTATAATATTTTTCACTTTGTATTTTTCACTTGTATAGAAAAATGGTAAAAAGGCGTGGTATGGGGAGGGGTGGGGGAATAAAAAAATGGATTGTTAAACTGGGAAAGCGAAATAAAAATGTAAAAATATCAGATAAGATATAATTTGTTTTTTTTTAATATTTTGTCCAAACCTTGCTTTTATTTTGAATAAAATCTATTTATTTAAAATGGTCAAAAAGACGATTATGTTTTTATATTCTATATTGTCTGTTGTTTATATTATACCTTGCTTTATACTATATGGGGGAGACGCCATAGCGCTATAAAAAAATAAGTCAAATATCATCATAATTTCTAAAAAATGAAACCAGACGGTCTTTATATTAGTGTACAAAGGTTTGTTTAATTGTGTGATTCGGGTAAATAAATATGGGAATAATATAATTATAGTGAAGTGAGAACTTAATGTTAAATAGTTTGGCAATAAATTTTTTGCAAGCAAAATATTTTAAAAATTAAAAAATAATACATTGTTTAAACTAGACCTTTTTTAAGATAGGGATTTTTTTTAAATCAGATATTTCGATCTTATTCTTTCTTACGCTAATAATACTAGATCTTTCATTTTTAATATTGGATTATAAGCAGCTTAGAAGTTTGAACAGAACCCATATCAAAACTAAAAAAAAATTGAAAGTCAATTGACAAATAAATATAATCTAATTTTTTTATTTGCATTGTCTTATGGGAGATAAATTCCCTATGCGGAAACCACATTTTAGGCGACTTAATAATTAAATTTAGCTGGCTTTCTAATTATTTCATAATTCCATTAATTGTACACATATACTCTAAGCATTTTCCTGTCACAATCTTTCACCCTGACTCATATATTTGGAATTTAACATACCCTTTGAGACAATTCCAATAAGGTTTCTTTATTGTTTCTTATAAACAAAGATTTTATGTTTGAATATTCCAAAACAAATCGTAATTAATCTTTGAAAATAAAGTTGCCAATTTTGTATTTATTTTAGTCTTTTTTTGATTTTAACGGCAGAGTGGGGAATTTTTTTTTGGCCTTAGGAATTAAAAAATATATAAAACTTTTATTAAATAATGTTATGTGCTTTATGGATGCATCGCATCCATATTTTATTGCATCTGCTTTTGAAATAATCTTATCAATTTTAGAATTTCACTTAGTCATTATTTCATTATTCATCTACTAAGGCTCTCATTCACATTCAATATTTATAAAATTTACATTTTTATATAGTTTATATAAAGGTGACCAGAGCCAATGAGATGAATTTTGTAAGCGGTTAAATCTAGAAGCACTGACTCGAGTAAAACATTTAACGGTAGGGGTCTCATTTTGTAAAAGAAATAAAATAAATGTTAATATTTAAAGTTTTTTTAATTTAAATTTTAGTTACATAAAAAAAAATTGGCACGTCAGAACAAGTCAGGGTAAGTTGGAACACTAACCAGAGCACATTGGAACTCTCATGTTTAATTTAAAATTATCTTACACAAATTTTATATTTAATAACGAATATATTGAATTTATTAAGTTATCTATTTTCTACATTATATAAAAATTCAATTTTATATTTTTATTTTAGAATTAAAAAATTAAAAAATTATAAAAGTTATATCTAATTTATTAAGGAGCTAAATAATCTCTAGATACATATTAAAATTTGATTGTTAATCATTTTTTTAGAATTAAAAAATAAAATTGTACAGGTCGTATCAATCTAACTAATAAATTTTTTTTATTATAAATCAATTATTTTAAAATTAAAAAATTAGACAGGTTGTAAAAATATAAAATTATAGAATCCAATTTGTGTATTTTATATGATAATCTATTAAGTAATATTATAATAATAAATGATCCAATAGATTATAAAATATTAAAATTAAAATTAAATGTTTATATTATATATTATATATATAGTCAAAGGATCTGGCACAAGCGTAATCAGGATCTTCCTGGGGAAGGGGGCTCTTAGGTTGGGTTTTCCCCATAAATTTTATTGGAGATATTTAAGATTACCTAATGCAGGCCCTGGCTATTTTACTTTTTTATTTTTCAATTTTGAATTATACTCATTATTTTAAAATATTAATAACTTTAGCTTATTTTTATTTCAACTTATCGTTTATAGTGATATATTATATATATTTTTGGGAGCAGAAGGATGGGGGTGGGGGCTGAAGGAATGAATTATTTATTAACTTAAAATTATAAATTTCTAATAGTTAAAGGGGGATTTTCCCTTGCCACCTCCCCTGGTTAGGCCTAAGTCATTACGATATACACATAGAATTCAGAAAATATATAAATTAAATATAATTATAATATAAGTTACATGCTTGCAGTGCTATCCTCTATACCGATTATTTATGATTGGCATGTAAATGTCCCAACGTTTCCTGTTTAAACCTACCCTTATTCTTCATTTTTGTCAAAAATTAATATAAAAAATAATATCATGATTTTCGCTAGAGAAGGGTTGTACCCTTCAATTTGATAATATCTCAGTTTAATTGGGAGATAAAGGAAAAAATGTTACACAAAAATTTAGGGTAAATAACATGTTATAATAAGATCATTAGTATCTGGTATAGAGATAAAAAAATTGTCACACATTCGTATTATATATTGTAATCAAATTTCATTCACTAATTCTTAATATTTATCAAATAAAATATAGTGTTCTGACATGCCCCTTTTCGTCTCGTTCTGGTCTCTTCTACAAGAATCAAAAACGAGTTGTTAAAATGGCACTAACCTTTATTTGTACGGCCCGTGTTAGAGGACCCTGCATGTACTAACTAAAAATGATTATCAATTAATTTTGATTTGATTCATTGTATCAGTCACCATTATAAAATATGCTATTTGAAAATGCACAACTGCTCAAGTTAGCGTAAATATTATCAACCCAACAATATATTCGTTTATCTTAAAGTTATAATTTGACATAAGAGAATCTTAACTGATCGGTTCAATAAATAATTTTAATCTAAATAACTATTTATAATATTAAAGTTAATAAAAATATTAAATACCAGGGATCTAGAGTGAATTGAAACTTTATACCAGAATACAATACATATTTGGTTTTCCAAAATGTAATCTGGGTGTCACCTTCATACTAAATCACCAAAAGAAGCGAACCGAACTTATATAATTTTCCGAAAACTTAAAGCCGTTATGTTATATATATATATTGTATTGTTATTTAAGACCATTACAGTTGATAAGTTTGACACAATTCATATTGAGTTTTTATTATTTTTACTGTAATTTTTTAAATTTAGATCGATTTTTATATAATATTTAAATATTTTGATTTTTTGCTTGATTATATTTAAATTTGGATATTAATTACTAGTAAAATTTTAATGATAAAATAATTTTCTTATAATGCAAATTTTATCATTGGTTGACTAAAATATGCATTACAATTTACAAATATCAAATCTTATTTTATTAAATATTGTGGACCTGCACAAATTATTTATACTCTCTATTTTTATTGATTAA